GTCTGGAGCTTCTTCAAACTGGCCTCGACTGAGGTCCGCATGCTCTTGGTGCCGTTGCCTCCGAAGTTGGCCATGATCTCTGTTTCACCATAACCAGCTCTGAAGTTGGTGGTGTACTTGGTTGCGATGACTAGGAAGACGATCAGTGTCTGCTCATTGGCAACATGTGATGCGCCCAAAAGGCATTCACAGATGGTCGCTAATTAGCAACTTACCAAGTTCATCCCGATTCCCCCATTTCTTCATCCACTCCCCAATCCATTTCTCAGATTCCTCCTTCTGGTAGTTATTGGCGGTATCAATGAAGTTGCCTACCCATTACCAAACATCATCAAGTCAGCCTGGATGTCAATCACTTTCTGGGATCATAGGATACTCCATCATACCTCCGTTCTCATAGTAAAAGTCCAAGATGCTCTCCGTAGTCTCTTGATTGCACGCTCCCATATAATCTTGCCTGTAAAGTAAAGTTCCGCAGGTTAGTAATCAAACTATTCACCAACGGTTAACAGCACAAAGCCAATGTGTAAAACCTACCAAGCATCGCCAAAGTTCATCGCTCCCAGACAAAGCGGACTGACGCGGACGGATGCAGTAGGGGACAGCAGGCGGTAGCGGCCGAGGGGCGACTTGGGGGGAGGTGCCATTGGGAGGGCCATTTTGAGTCAAAGTTGAAGGTATATAGGTGAGATTGGACGAAAGGAAGACTGTGAGATGAAAGACTGAAGACTGAAAGCCTGACAGATGCACGAGGTTCACACGAGGGAACGGACGAGGGACGGAAGAGAGCTTATATGTACGGTAGGTATCTGAGTTCAGATCAGGCTCGAGTAAAGGTCAGGGATACGTAAAAAGAGAAACAAGGATAGCACTTCGTTAAACAACGGAAGGTAGACCTGAAGGTCGTTCTTTCCTTCTGTGCAAGTTGATAGGCAGAGATAGGCAGAGAGAGATCACGGAGGCGGGAGCAAGTAGTGCAGTGTCGGGTACAAGTGGGATCGGCTTGAAGGCAATGGCAAGTTGAAGCGGGGATCAGATCTCTACGCTCTTCCACGGTGGGATGCCAGGCACACAAGAAGACTGGAAATGTTCGGGCACCCGAGAAGACGAAGGTGATGGTTTCGATATCAGAGTCCGTGTACTCCGGCTGCGTGCCGTCACCATGTACAAGTAGGCAAGTGGGGTTCAAACCCAAGGTGGGCCAAGGGCGTCCGCTCCCCGGGGTTGCCAAACTTCCCGAACGATCAGAGGATGTTTCCACGATCTCCACTCGATCTTATGCCATCACTTTCTACAGAAATCGTTGATTTATAAGTCCGACTGGAGATAAGGTTGTCTCCGCGGAGGGAGTCCAACGACCGGAAGTAAGAATGAGGCCGGTGTAAAGACCGGAAGCACCTTTACCCCCTCTTCGGACGCTGCTCCGATGATTTCATGACTTCGACATTGGGGATGATCCCCACTTGCGCCCAAGCGCGTTCACCTATTCCTTCAATGGGGTTGATGCTTCAGGTTGGTTCAGTTGGGGATAAGTCGTACGTGGCTCGGAGACATATAAATAACGGGGCTACATCACTCAACCTTGGATCGACTCAGTTTTGCACCGGTGCGGTGAAGGACACCAAGTGTAGCTGGTGTATATTGCCTTCTAGACAACCTTGGCGTTGGAGACGAACATTCATAAATACCCAAAGGTATCCAAAGAACCCTAACATTGACTTCATTTTATCGCTAAACGAGTCTTCTTCATAAAAATATATAAATCAATATACGTGGCCGCCCCTTTGCTCCAATCCTGTTCAAGTCGTGTCGTATAGTGTCATATTCGTACAAGCAATGCAAACCCCCGATTCATGTCGCTTTTAGCATGTCCAGACGCCGACGACACCGTCTTGACGGCCCTCAACCATGTAGCCGTCCCTGATGCGCACGCGTTCGACAATGGCAGGGGACTTGGCCTTCTCCGCCTCAGTGATGCCGGCGCCACAATCCCAGTGCCGTCCCTCAACCTTATCGTACACCTTGACCACATCCTCACCAGCAGCGCAAACAATCCGGCGGGTGTCAAACATCATGCTGGTGATAGGGTGATCATATGCGTAAGCGTCGAAGATTGATCCAGTGCGAAGGTCCCAAATCTGTGATGAAAAGCAATGTCAGTGCCAGTTCGTTTCGTGGTGTCATAGTTGAATGAAGGGATTGCTTACACGAATACTTCTGTCCAAGCTGCCAGTAACGAGATGAACATCGTCAAACTGGAGGCAGGTAACCGGGCCAGTATGTCCAACCAGGCTTCGGTGCACCTGTCCGCTTCTCAGATCCCAGAGTCTAACCATACCGTCAGCAGTACCGCAAGCCAGAGCAGATTCGAAGACCTGCAGAGCACCAACGAAGTCTGCCGATCCGTCGGCAGAGCGGCTGGTCTGCCTCCAGGGACCGTCACTGCTACCCATAGCGGTGGCTTGGGCGGCGGCCCACATCACGTCCAACGTTTGCACGCAACGACCCTTGGTGAGATCCCACTGACGAAGCGTCTTATCGGCGGAACCAGAAACGAGCACATCTCCCCTGAAATGCAAAGCCGTAATCTCGTCCAGATGGGCCTCCAGAGTGAAAAGAGGGCAATCAGCCATGCTTCCGGCAGGTGGGTCGACTGCGTGATCATCCGGGTTCACAAAGGCAAGGTCCTCGTCCTCCTCGTCGACCTCCTGGCTACCCTGAGGGTCGTAGTGGGCCTTGCTCAAGTCCCACAGCTTGATTGTCGCATCCATTGAACCAGTAGCCAAGAAGTTATCTTCGACTTGAAGAGTGCGCACAGATGCCGTGTGACCTTCAAGAGTACCGATGCAGCGTCCCGCGTTCAAGTCCCAAACACGAACCGAGTCATCCACAGCAGCGGAAACCATAAGACCAAAAGGAGCGTCGAAGTCGAGAGCCGTGATGTTATCCTGGTGCGCGCGCATCGAGCGGATCATGGTGCCTGGTTCAAAATGCTCGTGGAGAATCGGGAGTGACTTCTTGCGGTGGTTGCGAGGCTTCTTCTTGCCCGGAGCAGTGTTGGCAGCTGGCAATTTCTCGTAGATCGATTGCGACATGAATCCTTCTTCAGTTCTTGATAGATCCTCCTCAGATTTGTTCGGTGTCGCCATAGCCAACAATTCCTCCTCATCAGCAAGTTCTTGAGCTTCGTCCAACCGGCTCTCAACATCCATGACTACAACTTGTGGTTAGTAAGAGGTCCAAAAATTAAGAACAGAAACACTTACTGTCATGTTCTAGCACCGCCTCCTCTTTTTCAAGATTAGCCAACCTGTCGAGAATGATCTTTCTCATGCCGTGCAGGTTGGCAATCTTGTTGTCAATCTCACGGATCTCGCTGCTAGCCATATTCTTCCGAACACCAAGCATTTCAAGCTGGTGCATCATTGACGCTTTGTCCTTCTTTAACCTCTGTACCGCGTGTGGGCTTCCTGGTTGCACTGGGCTCTCATCGAGCATCTTCCTCCCCCGAGAAACCCGTCGCTTGTGCTTCTTTCCATCATCGGTAAAGTCGGGAAAACTGGCCTGAAAGCCCTGGAATAACGAGTATGAGTTGGAGCTGGCAGGGATGTTTCTGAGAAGCTCATCGGGCACGTAGGCCAGTGCTCGAGATTCAATTTCCTTTGACGACAGCTTGGAGCGCACTAAATCGGTGGGCGTAGTACGCGCTATAGCGAAGACGCTCCGTTGAAGCGTGGGCTTCTGGAGCTGCTTGTGTATCTCGGTCATGGCGGTTTGGTAGTGAGGATGAGAGGTCGGGTCGGTAATGGGGCCTATCAAGTGACTTGCGGTTGTCGTCACTTTGCGACCGAAGGCCTCAAGACCCCGCGTCTGTTGCAGTTCCCCCATCTTTCATTAGTCTGGGACTCTCGGGCTGCGCCAGGCGCAATGCGAATGGGATTTAGGGACGACAGAAGGGGGTCATAGTGGTAGAAAGAGTGTAGAAGGACGGAGGTGAGGAGAGCTCACAGAGATTACGGAGGTATCGTCATCAATCGACACATCGTCGGGGAACGCATCACGGTTCTGGTCGGAGCTGGCCATCCGTTGGCACTGGAAGGCTGCTACCCAATAGATAGAGGTTCGAATAAATGCCCAAGAGGTTGTTGCCGCCCGACGAACTACTAAAGCGCGGAGAGGTCGAATAGAAGCAGGACACTTGGACGACGACGGGGCGAGAAAATCCTGCGAGCGCTACTATCGCTGCAAAACCGCACAACCGGGATCGAGCGCAGCTGCGGCTAGTGGTGGCAATGCCGACGCGATGTTGTCAATGCCAGAGCCCGGGGCAGCAGCATGTAACCACGGCAGGCTGAATTAATTGAGACAGATGGGATGGAATGGTGTAGAGGTTAAGGTAAGGTACCTCGCTCTAGAGCTCTTGCGTGAGTGGGTGCGGCACAGGCAAAGCGCCGTGGCAGGAATCACTTCAGCTGGGCTGTTAGCAGATACCACCATCACGCTCATGGGGCACATCACTTGGAAGGTACCCTCTGAACACGCCTCTGCGGCTGGCAGCAGGCTGGTCGCAGCATGTGGATGTGGATTTCCACACCCACGAACCGACAGCCGAAGACGCGCCCCCTCAATTTCCATTTTCCCCTCACCCCCCTTGGCTCCCCGCACGCGGAATCGCGCCAATTCAGGCTTGGCTCCATTCAGAAGGGGGTGACAGAGCAGGGATCCGGTGTCTGCCCGAGAGAAACACTGAAGACCAGTGGGGTACCGGATCCGCTGTGCTGGTGCGTCATACCTAAATTTTAGCTTTGCAACGTGGAATCCGATTGTCCTCCGATATCGAAGTGCGATTGTTTGGTCCCAACTTTCCCGATTGAGGGTCCTCAGGAGGGGCTCACACTCACCGCACGCAACAACAGCTTCTTCTCCTTTATACCAATTGATCTCGTACCTTACATCTCAACCTAATCCCCTCAATTCCTAGTGACCACTCGGCTCTCAAAATGGACGCTATCATCGACCTGTCTGACGTCGACAAGGCGCTTGATCTCTCGCGCATTCGCTACCAGTTGATGTGAGTCAAAAGCGTCCAAGCATTGAACGGTTTGCACCTGCGTTTGAAATCCAGGCCATCTGACATGCGCATTGGAATAGTCGTCTCGAGGATACCATCATCTTCCATCTGATAGAGCGTGTTCAGTTCCCCCTCAACCACAACATCTACATCCCTGGCGCCGTCCCGCTCCCCGACACCGACCTCAGCTTGATGGACTGGTACCTCTGGCAGCAAGAGCGTCTCCAGTCGCTCATGCGCCGCTACGAGTCGCCCGACGAATACCCTTTCTTCCCCGACGCCGTGCAGAAGCCCATCCTCGAACCGATCGACTACCCCCAGATCCTCCACCCCAACAACGTCAACGTCAACGACAAGATCAAGGAGTTCTATACGCAAAAGTTCCTTCCCAGCGTGTGCCCCGACTTTGGCCGTGAGGACCGTGGTGCCAACAAGGAGAACTACGGGTCCTCTGCTACTTGCGATATCGCCTGCCTGCAGGCCATCTCCCGGCGCATTCACTTCGGCAAATTCGTTGCCGAATCCAAGTTCCAGTCTGAGACGGAAAAGTTCACAAAGTATATCAAGGCCGGCGATCGCGAAGCCATTGGGGAGGCTATCACCAACAAGGCTGTTGAGAAGAAGGTGCTGGAGAGACTGAAGCTCAAGGCGGAGACCTACGGTACCGACCCATCGATAGGCGCCTCTGAGGCGGAGAGCCAGCGCAAGATCAACGTCGAGGCCGTCGTGGCTATGTACGAGGAATTCGTGATTCCTCTTACCAAAGAGGTCGAGGTCGAGTACCTCATACAGAGACTGGAGCCGACGCCCGCCCAATAGCCATGATGCAAGGAACGTTCGGCATCAAAGCTCACCAGTAAGCGACGGTTGATAGAAGAAAAACAAGCATGCAGGCAGGAACTGACGATGCGTTAAAGTTTCCCGTTCATATTCCCCCTTTCCCGGAGCTTCCATCTTTTTTTTTGTAATTCATTACAGTAAATTAGTTGGCCGCCGCGCCAATGTAATCCCCAATAGCCTTAACAGCCTTCTTAAACTTGCCCGCCTCGATGAGCATCATGAAGCCCTGTGACTTGACGCCGAGCTCCTGGAACGCGCGCTTGCTGTCGGCCGAGTCGCCCTCCTTGGTAAAAGTGTAGGTTCCCGCACCGACAGCATGCTTGCGCATCTCCTCGTCCTCCGGGTGGAAGTACTGCAGACCCTTCTCGCCGCGGGCCCGCTTGCGCTTCTGCTCCTCCTGGTCCAGGCTCGACGCGACCTCGACGTACCCGCGCGACACCACCAGGTAGTGCGTGAACTCGTACGGCTCCTTGTCGTCGACGGCGTCCGCGATCTCCTCGATCATCATGTTCCACATGGGCGGGATGACTTCGGCCGGCATGTTGATGAGGCGCTCCGACAGGACGATGCCCACTTGGGCCTTGCCGGAAGTCAATAGCTCAGGCAGAACGGCCAGGCTTGAGTCACCGGCCTTGACGGCCTTGTCGGACAGGTACTCGATCAGCTGCGCGACGGGCTTCTTCTCACGGTGCTCCCACGCGTTGAGCACGGTCAGGAAGGCGTAGGCGTCGTTGGCCTTGTCGTCCACCTTGCACGTCGAGCCGATGGTGTTCTGCTCGATGATCATGTCGCTGAGGCCGGAGAGGTCGAAGAGCTGGGCGTCGGCATCAAAAAGCTGGCGGAGAAGCGTCTTGACGCCGTGGAAGTCGATGTCCTTGTCGTAGTTGAATAGCTCAAAGTCGACGTTGATGATGTCCATATCCTTTTATTTCCAAGCCTGTGTTAGTAATTTGATTCCCCCAATAGGAAGTAAGTGCAATGGTTGGTTGTGTTCACTACTACTCACCTCATCCGAGTCTGAGCTGTCACTATCCTCATCCATCTTATCGACTGTGGAGTCGTTCTGGACGACCTCCTTCTGGGCTTCCTCTCTTGATCTCTTCTTGCCCATCTTGAATGTATTGCTTGAATGACTCGATAAAAATTATCCTTGTTCGACTTGTTAGTCACAAATTTCACAAAAAATCGTGTTCACGGGGGTCCTCACCTTGTGATATGTGGTTGACTTTGAGGTCACTCAGGCCGTCGAGCTCAAAATTTTGTAATGCAGCCCTTAAGGTTTTGGTTCGATAAGGACGGACCTTATCGCCTGCCTGCATGAACCCTAACCCTGCCCCGTTTTACCGATGTCGGCAACAAATGAGGACAAGCAGTTGCTAGGACAACCATCGCTCTGGCAAAACTTAAAAAAAGGGGGTGGCCCGGATTTCCAGCCACGTTGGACCCAGTGGATGGACGGCTGTAATCACGAACTTTGAAAGACGGAGACTACGTCATTCTCACAATCACTGCCTGTCTATGGATGCCGGTGAATTCCAAGCCAGTCTTGTCCAAAATATTGACATGGCAGCACAATTGCTGCCCTCAATCTAATGCGTAGGCTAAATCGTTGAGATCTTCTTTCCCATCCTCAGGTGTTGTCTACTAAAAGCCAACACGTACCCTCTCACTTGTACTCCATTCAACTTGGAGCACACTGTCCCTCAACATCTCGACACCAGCAAATCACCGACAGCGTTCCTAAAGCTGTCAAACAGGCAATATTCCACCTCATCTCGCAACCCAATCATCTCGTCTCGGCCGACATGACATTTTCCTCGGTACTCATCAGCCGTGTCAGTCATGAATGCCTTCTCAGACTTTCGCATGACCCACCCTCGGCAGAGCTTCACTTCTCAATTCGTGCGTGTTTCATGGATTACACTTGCTCAGCACCCCAGCCCGCATCCGCCTCGCGCATGTTCGCAGGCGGCTCAATCGAGGGCACGAATTCGAGAGCGGCATAGGCAACGCCGACAAGGAAGATGATCGAGCCGATAATGATGGTAGCCCAGTGTCCGTGGGGAATGATGCTGCCGACGAACATGTAAACTGCATAGTTAAAAACGACGATTAGCCAAGCCCCAGCTGTGTACACGAACCTGGCAACAGCAGGAGAAGGAGGAGGGGGGACAATAACGTACAAACGCCACGGCCGAGGAACGAGAACATGAACGAAGCATAGCGCTGGACTTGGTGAGGGATCTGGAACTCTGTACGTAGGACGAAGAAAGCGGGTTAGTAGGTTATGTTCACGGCCCGAAGAGGTTGGAGACGGCTTGTAAGTCAGCGGGAAGGGGAGCGCATTACCCATGAGACCGGTGGCTGTAAGAAGTGTTAGCGTTTTGAAACCCCATTTGGACATTACTGTCAAAGGATATTGCGATCACTTACAGGCACCAAAAAGGATCGTGTAGCATCCGAGGATCATTGATTGACTGTCAACAATAACTTCGTCAGTTTCAAATCCCATATTATTTCATCAACCGGCGCACAGCTCGGGCGAAGTTATAACCCCCTCCGCGGGTGTAGGCGGGCGCGCACTGGCAGCCGGGAGACATCCAAACTCCAGGACCTTGACCAACCCCGGCGGCCGCCAAATTTGCGTCCGAGGAATCCGTCCGCTCAGGAAGAGAGAAGCGCATTGAGTCCGTGTATTGTTCGACATGTCGATGAGCGTAAGATGAGGGAACGTACATTCCGAGAGACAAGAACTGGGAGACACCGCCCAGGATCATGAGCACCGCAACCGCGAGGTTGACAATGCGACTGGAGAGTGGGATATAATGTTAGCAAGCTGTTCTGGACCTTGAATGGGTGCTTGGATTCGCGAAGCATTGGGGACCAGCAGCCTTGATCGCCGTCTTCATGATTTCTCGGGATTCATCCACAGTCGCACGGGTGGGCGGGATTGTAAACGTACAAAGAGTCAGAGAGATCCATCCTGGCGTTGTGGTATTTTAAAGCGAATGCGTCGCAAAGGTTGATAGAAAGACGGAGGAAATGGTTGCGATCTGGCGAATTCGGTGTGGTCAGGCAATCGATCGGGATCGAGTCTCGGAGAGTCGCGCGATTGTAGATAGAGATATGACCACGTAGAGGTGGTACTTGACGTCGCGACGAAAGATGTTGTAAGGATAGTGTAAAAGTGTTGCCTGGAACAATCGAAGCTCAAGGTCAGGAATCTGTGGAGGTTGGCGGCCGGTCACAGCCTCACAGGAGGGTCGGGTGGTCCCTAACGATGCGCCTGAGCCGGGGTACATCGTCCACTAAACCGGGCCCAAACGCGCGGCAACGTGGAAGCTCCGCCCTACGACGCTGACGTAGCCCATGTCACGCCTGCGGCGGCCTGTCAAGGCAGGGGCTTTCCGTCAACTCTGAAACTTCAATTGCCGCATTAAGCTTCACCATAGCAGGGTGTTGCAAATAGGGGATGCAGTTAAGGGGTACAGCGACGAGATGGCTTTTACCATAGAAATCAAGCCCAGTGAATTCGACGAACAGATACAAAACTACCAAGCCTGGAGAGGATTTTGTAACACAAACTTTGTGTCCAGGTAATGTTCGGCTTTCCTCAGAAAGACTATGCCTTCCGTTGCTATCTATCTATACAACAGTCAAAACCCAAGGGTATGCTCTCCCAAGTAACTCCGTAAGTATCCCTCAAAATCACAGAATGCGCTTTTTCAGCCTCCGCATATTAATCATAACCCAATTCGGCGAGCTCTCTTTCCTTTGCGGCCAGCAACTTTCTCATCATTTCGGCCTCGCGCTCCAACGCTGCCCTTCGCTCTGCCTTGAGCCGCTCACCATCACTAAGAGGATCCCTTGAACCACTCCGCATGGTCGGGGCTGATGTTGGTGTACCGATGACCGTGCTGTTTGAGAATGATCCTGGGCTGGGTGCTGGAGTCAGGCTGCTCATGGCTGGGGACCGGGAGGGCTGTTGCATCCGTAACTGGTCTGCCGGCGAGGCCTCTCGGTGCATCTCGGAACTCGGCATCGGATTGAGAATGGATTTGATGGATGACAAACGCTTATGACTTTCATTGTCATTATGAGTAGAAGATTCGTTCTCCACAGCGGATATCGACCGCTTCCTTGATGGGGATAGGAATGATGCTGGTGATAGGGACGATTGTCGATCAACCGGGAGCGCCAATGAATGAATTGGGGCCAGCCGATTCTCATAAGTGAGAGATTCACGAGCTCCGTGATTCATATGAGATGAGTGATACTGTCCCAAGTCGGCTGAAGACAGCGGTGATGCCTGTCTGTTTCGTCGCAATTCATCCTCAGGCACGAGGGTCAATGGTCGTACTGGACGTCGACGGATTCCGAGATTAACAGATCCATCTTCGTTGACCGTACCCTTCTCCATCGGAGGTTCCGGTGCCGGGGGTGGTGAATCTGGAGCCTCACTTGGCTCATTCCCTGTCTCACCTCCGGCGGCAGGAATCACCCGTTTTCTCCGTTTGATTATTGCCTTTTTCATGGTCACTGGCCGATGCACGCCATGCAACTTGTAGTAGAGACCTTCAGTCAGGTTAGCATATTTCATCCCATTCCTAGTTGTCTGGACAGTAGGTTCATGCACTTACCACACGCATTGCAAATGGTATGACCGGCTTCATCCCTTCGCCAGAGCGGAGTAATGGTAGTGCCGCAGTTTTGGCAAGCAATGACAACGGTGGTGTTTTGCGACTGTACGTGTAAGGCGGTGATATCCACCTCGGTCGGTTCTTCCCCACTGCCCTCTGCTGCTTGAGGTTTCTTGCAAGACGCGGCTGCTGCGCCCTGACATTTCAGAACGTCGAGACTGGCACTCTTGGAAACACGGTTGTTATATGCGGGGCAACCACCACACCCCTCCGCACCACCTGTGCCGTTGCATCTTCCGCCTCCAGGGCACGATCCTGACGGCGTCTGATCGGCGGCCACATATGTTGCTCCCGGGTTGCTCGGCAATAACGGTGCAGTTGCTTTGGGGGACAACTTGGTCGGGGCCTGCCTAACATTGCTCGCCATCACACTCGGGGGGCGCCTTATGTTGGCGGGGCGAGCCGCGTTACGCGCCTTTAGGTACAGTCCGCAAGCATTGCAAATGATGGCTCCTTGAGGGGATCTTCGCCAAAGAGGAGTATGTGTTGTACCACAATTGCTACTCAGCCGTTAGCGCTTCAGATTCAATCAATAGGAAAGGAATATCCATACCTGCAGACTTGACCTGCATGACCTTGAACAGAAGGCACAAGTCCCAGCGTTGCAACGTTTACCACCCCTACGGTCTCGGTTGAAGATTGTGCTGGTTGGGAGTATAGAGTTTTTGGAGACTTCTTGCGACCAGATGGGCTCTGTGCAGCATGCCCCGCTTTCTTTGAATTCGGCGAGGGCCCGGATTTGGACTTGGAAGACGCCTCGTCAACCGGACCGGTTGACTCGTGCTTCGGGGGCTCGTTACTTTGGGTCATTGGGGGTGGCCTTGATGGAAGGGCCGTACGGCCAGGTGCTGAGTTACTTTCGGTGGAAGTTTGGTTATTCATAAGGCGAGTGTCATCCGGCAATGCCATTCCTTCTCGATGTGTTTGTGTTTCGATCTCAATCTAACGATACGTTTGCTGAAGGCTAGTTATCCGTCTTGAGAAGGGACACAATGTGTTGAAAGCCTGCTCGAAAGAAAGTGGATGCTGTACGTCGCCGGGAGTCTCGAGGTTGCGCAGGCTGGCTTCGATGTCGCTCCGTGATCGTCAAGTGGTGGAAACGGTATCGAGGTCGGCGGTCAAACACATGCCAAGATCGATCGTTGGAGTTGTACTTGGATGACAAGTAAGCCACCCCAATCTCTGGGCAATATCCGCTAACGATCAGGCGGGATCTTGGCCAGTACCGAGCGTTTGTACCAGGAGAACAGCACGTGTTGGGTGTCCGAAACAGACGACTGATGGGGAAAATGGCCAGAGAAAGCCGGTGCTACAGACGGCAGCAGGGTGCCGCTGAATCAGGAGTTGGTTATGCTGGAAGAAAAGGCTTGGACAGGGAGTCCGGTTGTGGTACGAGCGAGTTCGCGCTGGTGGCAAGACCTGGACGGTTGTGTACTCCAGTAGAGTGCACGAGGATGGCGAAGTCGGTTGGGATCCGAGGTGACAGATGGGGAGATGGAGCAAAAGGGTTGGTGGACAGAAAAGGCAACGTTTCTGTCTTTTTGCGTCTTCTAGGTGAGTGGACAGACGAATGTCTGCATATCCTTCCCCCTTTGCCTCAAGAGTCTCTGTTGTGCTTCTGATTACTACTCCACTGCTCCACAGATCTGTTATCTGATCTACGGATAATCCTGGCGACCAAAGGGCTGAGAGACGGTTGGAAGGTTCACCCAGGGGTTGTTGCTAGTCGTTGCCGAGGACAAACGCGTCTGGGAGGGAGGAAGGTTCGACAGTGTCTTAGCCTGGAGGAGGGCCACAATAGAACAACGTGGTTTGATTTTACAGAACGACACAGATAGGATTTTGCACAACAAAAATCAAACCCGCATTTGTTCGGGAGACCTGATTTGAGATCATGGGACGTGGAATTGGGCTGGCTACAGGATGAGAAAGGCCCTTTTGCAGGCCCAGTGTCACTGGTCGACTTGGGGAGATGCCGCAAGGGAATAAGTGACCCACAAGATACCCTCAATCTGGCCAATCAAAGCCCGCGCAATGTCAGCAGACAGGGCTTAGATGAGAATGACCGGGGTTCCTTGATGCGTGCCTTGGGTACGGGAACGCAGCGACGGGTCTGTAATCCGGCCAATTTTACTCTGTATTTTTACATAATGCGCCGCTGTCAACTCTCGTTTATTTACACCTCTGCATGGATGTAAAATGTTAGCTCCGTACGGCAGTCCTACAAGAAACAGGGAAAAGGCAAACGGCAAGAAAGCAATTTCTTGTGCAGAATTGAAGGTTCTTTGCCACCCGCAAAAACCAAGCTAACATTTTATATCCATGTAGAGGTGTACATTGGGGTTTCTTTTCCTACTCGTGAGGTTTTGAAGCAACACCCACCCCCGCCGAACACATCATATCTTTCCGTTCGGGCCTGCTCTACCGCGGACATTTACTCACGTTACGGACCACGAGATCAGACTCAGTACGATGCGAACAGTCGCGGTGCTACGTACCAAGGTCGGGCTCGGAGTTTGGTAGGCATCGCTTTGATGATGGGAAGACTCCCGCCTCGACCGCCTCAATCAGATAACCTTGGCACTCCCCTGATCGGCCTATCGTGCATACATCCAGGACACCATACATCTCCTCTCGTACAACCTTACCAAGATTGGACAGTCCACGACAGTCCACGACAGTTCAAGGTGGTCAGCCAATATTATGTAAAACAGCAGTGCTCCCCGTTCATGTGATGGAAAGGACTTTTGCCTCCGGGTTACGAGCTCGTTAACCTCGTCATCAACTCACCTTCAGTACACTCCCATGAGTTTGCAAAGTGTTCAACCTCCCTTCAAAGCTCACTGAAAGTTGAAATCATCACTACAATCTTACGTCGACTACAAGCTCACTCACTCTCTTTACTTCAACCGACTGCCACTCTTGCTCAACTGCGAATACACTACAACCCCAGTCCAGACAAAAAGAGAACAGTCTATTTTTACTCATCCCCTGAGCGACGTGATCTAATCTTCTGACCGATAGTACACCAATCACCTCATCCACCCCCGGCAGCCGACGATCTGATAGCGATAGCCCCGAAAAAGGGAGATCATTCCATGATCGGGGTTCTGTGGACCCGTACAGCCGTAGTATTTGCCAAGCCTTTTTTTCAATTCCGCATCAGTTCCATCTTAGCACGAGGATCGGTTCGGATCAGTTCCATTATCTCTCGGCCCACTTGGTACCATCTCCGAACTCCACTCTCCATGTGGATTGTTTTCCGAAGTCCCTAGGAAAACGTCAACATCCCATCCGATCCGGAGACCGGAAGCCTTTTTCGTTGACGCTTGACAGAAGACGGGAGACACCACTTCGACCACGTGCGAATTGAGGCTCGCTCGGCCGGATCCGTGATCTTCTGATGCATGTTGATCAGCACCCAACTACATACGTACACTAACGAAGGCTTGACGCCATGTCATGACTCTGTCTACCTTTTGACTGACCAGTAGAGAAACAAAGGTCCTCCCGCCCACTATCCGGTGTGATTCGGTTCGCTATCTCGATAGATCTTTGATCGATATGGTGGAGCTTTTCATCAACGATATTCCCAGACACCCTCCGCAGTTCCTAAAAACACCTCGGCTCGTTGATCCTGTTGAAGTCTTCCAACCAACCAACCGGCATGCTTCCCGGTACGATTAGGAATCCGGCGCATAATCACCAATCCAGTGATTGGCTTCGTATTTGTTGACGTCTTGTGCTGCAATTCTGAAGAAAAATTCGTTACGATGCACTACCTAGAACGTACCTAGGATGAGGGTTGTGGAATCATTGAGGGAATCCACTATGTTTGAGCAATCACTTATGTTGACTACTTTATATTACATGTGCATTGGCAAACATCGATGTTCAGACTCTCACTTTGTCGGTATGTAGCTTCCTATGAACAATCCGAACAGAACGAAGCTTTCCATATCAACACCACTTGTCATTTGGAGAGTTGTGGGCAAATTATAGTACCTAAACAAATCTTGTGAGAGAAATAACCCATCGAACATACAGGGAAACATAGGCAACAGGCCTTAAAACAATGCCCCACCATATTTCCCCAGCAAACTATCAGTTGATAGAATAATCGAAAGGCAACCTTCCTCGACCTCATGAACCTTTGACCAGGTTTTTGCGCGTAGTAAAACGGAGAACTGCTTGCAAACCCACGAGAACACAAAGCAGGTATATGTGGAGAGAGAAATTCCGGGTGTGATAGAACAGCAATAACCGTAGCAGGGTATCTTCGAAGCAAGCAAATTAGATCCTTCCGTTACAAAGAGATGTTCATGAGAAAAGACGTGAAAAACTGAAATTGCGAAAGCCTTGAACGCCAAATCACCAACGCCAAACCATGCGTTTGCCCGCCCGTCATCTCAGAAATCAGGATCCTTCTTGCTTCTCTGGCGTCGAACTTCACCAATGAATCCATATCTCCATGCCCTCATCAATGTATCCCGAGCCATGTGAACAGCGATAGCGACGGTCAGTGAGTTCCACAGCCAAAGCCCTCTCGCGTTGAACTCGACTCTCTCGATCTGCACGACGCCTTGTTCTGGCGATGCGGCATCGTAAGTGGACAGCACGAGGGTGTGTTGAACCACGGTGAAAACAAAGATGGTAGGCGGTTCCGCAACGTACTCCCCAGTGTCCTCGTCCATGAGCACCTCACGCCAACGCTGGGCAACGTCCTCTACCCTCTTCCTTACACTATCAGAAATCTCATGGGCAAAATCTTTCCTGCGGGAGTATTCGTACTCCAGCACCAGAAGCAGCGGAGGAAACTTGCACTTGTCCAGCCCTGCATCTTTCAAAGCCCATCTCCAATAGCGGCTGATGGTTTTCGCGGTGTATGGCCCCATCAGTTCGCGCTGACCAAGCCTCTCAAAGTCCAAGATGTGCTGGGTGCAAAGGAACACCGATTCGAGTGCTTTACAGGCTAAAGGACAGCAAGCTAGTCAGCATAAATTGGCAGAAGACAGAGATGGAAGTTGGAGTAGCATACGTACCAGCAAGTTCATTCCCATAGGCCTTGATAATAACCTCCTTCCTGCTATCCTCTGGCGCGAAGACATGAGTGAGGTTGCCCTCAGCGATACCCCACATCTTGTAGCTCCATCGCCATGAAGCTGGCATCACCGGGTGAAGGCCTCTTAGAAAGATGAGTTTGTGGAGATGACGTTGCTCCTCATTCCAGTCCTCGTATCCAGAGACACGCTTTATGACCATGGCATAGTCTTGAAGATGGCGAGGGACTTCTTCATATTGGTCCCAGTTACTGTTGGTGCTATACGCCGGATTGCGAGACGTCTCACGCGTCAAGCGCCTGCTGGTCGTTTGGGTGTGGCCGCTATGATAACCCCGGTTGTCATCAATATCGTTATCGTCGGCGCTGTCATCATCGTAATCGTTCTCGGACTCGTCTTCCTCATCGAAATCCGCCTCATCAGTCTCGGATCCTTTGGTGGAGGGCGATATGGCCACCTCGATGGTGGGGTAAACCAAATCCTTTGGCTTCCTCCGAGGGGTAGTCTGTCTTCCAGGAGCAACATAACCTCCACGAAGCTCCAGTTTTGCGCTGCTGTCATCATCCGGGGTAAAATAGAACTCGGTGAAGCTTGGCGAGCTGATGCCTAGCTGGGCTTGGAGTAGATACATGTCGACATCACCGTCGGCGTCGGTGATAGTGGGGCTGGGAGTGGCCATCGCAGAAGGTCGCATATTTCTTGTGCGTGTTTGGTAGGGCGCATAGCGCTGGGTTCCTGACTTTCGAGGTGAGGTTTTCATGTTGAAGAAAAAAGAGGGAACGGGAACAGAAAAGGAGGAATGACGGGGAAAAGCTCAAAGAACGCCAGGCTCCGCGGAACTCTCTGATGAGATGTGAAACTTGGGTGAGGTGAAAGTGAAGAGAAGACCGTAGGTCAAAATCGAAGGGTGATCGAAGCGATACAAAGTGGGGATGTGAGGGTCAAGGGAAGTGCTCTTGCAGTTGATTTCCTTGTTCGAGAGACGATGCTCGACGGGGTTGAGAGCCGGGAGACAGCTGGAGTGTATGCGGATGGGCGAGTTGTGAGCAGTCCGCTTTGAAGAGGGGTCCTCCTGTCCCGTCCGGATTGGGAGTTGGGGTTTTCTTTGTCTCGAAGTCGGAACAATGAAAACAATGCTGTAGTCTAGATGAAAGAGCGCTTTTGGCCGGCAACCTGGATGAAACCAGGAAGTGAGCTTTGTTTGTCCTTCTTCAGTGACAGTGTCGGGGAGGGACAAGCATAAGGTAAAAAGCTTTCCGCAATGCCCGCATCGACATCGATGTTGTGCGGCCAAAGCTTGGGCACCACGCATCCAACACCCGATGAGATGTCTTCAACGCCGCACGTCAAGAGAGGTGTAGGGACGAAATTTATAATTGGTTCGGCGATGACAGGATAGCCTCACGACTCCGTTGGAACTCTTGACTTGACGACCTCGGCGCCCAACCCGAACGAGTGGCTGATTTTTTTGGTCGAGGTGCGGTCAACGCGGTTCAATGAGAAGGTGCCACCCAGTCGGTTGCCTGGACAATTGGGAAGTCACGATCGATGCGGTCCGGCTGCATCCCATTCGACCTCTCCTTCCATCTACTCGACTAACAAGGCTGTGTGCCTGCCGATTTGGTAGCTCCTTCCATCTCGGCTCGGTTCGTGTTCTGTCCTTCCCGCTGCCAGGTACAACGATACTTCCGAGCATTGATGCTGACGGGACTTAAGGCAGCTGCCTGTGTCACCATCCTGATGCCCAACTCTCGACGACTGAGATGGGATGAGTTCTGAATATTTTTGAAGCGATGAGTCGTCTATCCACATACGCTTCCAGTTTGAGCAACATCTTGAATGCTCAATTCATCCCTGGCCCGGACGGTTGGACAATGCAGTCGAGTAATGTCTAAGGGTTCCCCAGGTCAGGGCACAAGGGACATGAAACACCTGACGAATTTGTCGACATATAGGATTTACAATTGGTTTATTTTTGTAGATGTGATGTGGAAGTTGAGGGCTCACACCACGATACAGCCATGCAATTGCAGAGTGGTTGATGGTTTCAAGCCATTGTTCTGTTCGAAATCTATGACCGACGTCACCGTTGTGGATGCAGAGAAGCTAAGGAGGTACGTACTGTGGGGCAGTGCTTAGGTAATGGGGCGTGACAGGGGAGCTGAGGGGACCCTGTCCTCCGTTTGCCGTGGGGCGACCACTCGTTTTGCGCCTAGGGACGGTGGGGAGTCCGAGCGTCGGGGTGCCGACCACAGTGGGTGCCGTGGTGTGGGTGGCTCCAATGCTGCTGCTTGAAAAAAGTCCCGTCCCAAGCTCGCCGCAGGCTTCATTCACCGCAAAGACAGCCAACTCCACCCCAATTTTTACCTTGCGCTGTCATTTCAATAGCCACAACATACCCCAATTTCAGTTGGATCAACGGTCAACATGACGACTGACTGGAGCAAGCTTACAGTCGTTGACCTACGTCAAGAGCTCAAGCGCCGCGGGCTCTCCCAGGCCGGTAAGAAGGCCGACCTTGTCGAACGCTTGACTGTCGACGACCAGGAGGCCCAGACATCGCAGCAAGAAGGAGACGCACCCCCAGAGGCGGAGCAGGAGGATGACAAGGAACAGGACAAGGAACAGGATCAGGAAGCAGAGGCCACCGACGCACCTGTTGAGACTGCACCCGAAGATGAGGCCACAAAGAGCTCCGGCAGCCCTGCCCCGTCGCCGGTGAAAGCTCCTTCGCAAGAACCTCAGCCCGAAGCTGCCTCTGACACCCCAGCTCCTGAGTCAGTTGCTCCCGAAGAGAAGTCAACCATTGCGCAAGACGCCACACAAACAGAACCGGACGTCAAACAAGAGGAATCAAGCGAGCCGACAAGAGAGTCCGCCGCAGAATCTGCGCCCGAAGCAAACAATGTTCCTGCGACCAAAGACGACACAACTGAAGAAAAGGAAGAGAAGGTCGAAGAGAGCGTATCTACCGAACCTGCACCCGTGGCTCCTGAACTCACTAGCGATACACCTAGCAGAAAGCGCAGATCTCGCAGTCCCCCTCCTGAGGAAGAAACGTCTAGGAAGCGTGCGCGCCCTACCGAGCAAGAAGACGAAGATACGCGCATGAGTGGGCTTGAAAGTCAACCCGGCGAAACAGTGCTACCCCTCGATGACGAGCAGGGCGGGAAAGACGCTTCCTACGCCACTATCCACCCCGAGATTCCCCAGGTAGCCGACTCAGAGAAGGTTTCTGAGATGCACGAAGCACCACAGCACCGCGAAGCTTCCGAACCGCGCGATTCGAACTATCGTGACCAAGAGGAGGAGTCCCGCGACCGTGTAAAGACCGAGGCCGACCTCAAGCAAGAATCCCCCGAACGGGCAGCGTACGACCGGAGCGCTGTAAAGTACGAGGCCGATATGGATATTGACGAGCGAGACGTTGCCCCCTCCGAACACCCCGCCACCCAAGCGCTATACATCAAGAACTTCATGAGACCGCTCCGCCCTCACATTCTCCGTGAATACCTCGAAGAGCTCGCCGCGCCCCCGGGCAGCCTGCCGGATCCAGACTCCATCAAGGATTTCTATCTCGATCAAATACGCACCCACGCTTTCGTCAGCTTCACCTCCGTCGCGGCTGCCTCGCGCGTTCGTGTCGCTCTCCACGGAAAGATTTGGCCTAATGAGCGGAATCGCAAGGAGCTGTGGGTAGATTTCATCCCTCCCGACCGGGTGAACGAGTGGGCGGAGACGGAGCAATCCGAAGGCGGTCGCGGCAATCTCGCCCGGTGGGAAGTCCGCTACGAACGTGACGAAGAGGACGGCAACATTACCACCCGTCTCGTTAACGCCGAGCTCGAGCCGGCGCCAGCGGCTGTGGCCGCTGCTGCTTCTGCTACCCGCGGATCAGTATCCTCAACAGCCCGCGAGCCCCTTCCCCCTCCAGTCATCCCCTCCGGTCCCGCTGCCGGCCGGCAACATCCCGGCATTGAAGGCGCGCCCTCGGGCCCCCGTGGCCGTGGCGGCCGCGTGCCCCAGCCCGCACTCACGGGCGACGAGATGAAGGCGACCCGCACCCACCCTTCGCTGCTCTACAGGCCCGTTAACGCCGAGCTCGCAGAGCGCCGTCTGCAAAACATGCGGTCGTTCTACACCCGCGACCGGCACCGCGACATGGGCCGCGAGGACGAGATCAACCGGTACACATTCGAGGACAACGATTCGTTTGTCGATCGCGGAAAGGAGGTGTTTGTCGGGATCAGGCCGCCACATCGTGAGGCGGAGCGTCGCCGTGGTCGTATGGGCGGTGGTGGTGGTGGTGGTGACGGCGGTCGTGGCGGGCCGCCTCCCCCTCCATTTGGCCGGTCCCGTGGTGGTGATAGGTACCTGCCCGGTGGTGGTTCAGGAGGAGGACGCGATGAGCCGCCTCCGAGGAGGGGCGGTGGTGGCGGTGGAGATGAACCTAGGTCGAGATTCGACGGCGCGCCATTGCCTACGTTTGAGGGTGGTCCTCCTAGGAGACGGAGACGCGGCCATGGTGGTGGTGGTGGTGGTGGTGGTGGTGGTGGAGGAGGCGGCGGCGGCGGTGGGTTCCGTGGTGATCGATACTAGAGGGATCGATACTAGAGGGCCTCCCTACCTACCTGCTATCCAGTCCCCTGTCTTTCGCCCTGTCTTTAAGGAAGAAGAAGAAGAAAAAAGGAGCGGCGTCTGGGACGACGCTCGGCAGTTAATAAGTTCCAGTACAGAAGACAGTATTGTGGTTCACAGAAGTTGTCTTTCTGATAGTCTTTCCGGCATGTACATATAGCAAAAAGTACTTACTGCATGGACGGCACGGCATGGGGTCAGCATCGCGGGACGGACCCCAACACAAAAGAAATTTTGTACATTGTAAAAAACATAGAACTGTAAGGGTAGACAGCAGGATAAGCAGCGCAGGGAGGGGTTGACGCATCCTTCCAGTCGAGGGTGCGAATGTACCTACACCAAGCGAAGAAGACCAGAAATAAAGAACACAGTACAAAGAATATCCAACGCATTATTGTTCATGACGAAGAAGAATGGCTGATGCCCCAAGGTAACTACAAGATGGGCGTTTTTTTTTCCAACTTGAGACAGTCCATATCAACCAGAATGACATGCTTGATAATGTTGACATTGGGTTTCACAAGCCTGGCCAGGGCACAGGGGCTGGTTTACCCTTCAATGAAACCATGCTCCCCAGCAACCAGTGCTTACGCTGTCAACATGACCCCTGAATGTTGAAGACGGGAAGTATATGACTGGAATACATGGGACAATTACCAGGAACGGATAGAATGCAACGACTAGAAGACGTTTGAATATAATAGCACATTGGTATGTATTTACTACATATGATCCTCTCTGCGCCATAACAGCCTAATCCCGATTGAATCTTGCTGATTTCATTCACCCTTGAAGTAGTAAAAAAGATATCATGGTCCCCAAACCATTATTAACGAGAGGACGTCGCTCAAAAAGTCCCATTTTACAAAACCCATATTCGTTGTGTTAAAACCCAGAAACCCAAAACAAACAACAAAAACCATTCATCAGAAAATGAAAAGACGTTCTCGCCGCTTAAGCAGCGTTAGCAAGAGGAGTGGGCTCAACGCCAACACGCTCCTTGCCGAGAATGTCAATCATTAACTGAGAAGGCCTGTTGTCACGGTAGACCTGGGAGTTGCTCTTGAAGAGCTCGACGTTCTCCATATACTTGTCGAAGAGGTAGGAGCTGTCCATGGGACCACCCTTGGCCTCGGGGTGGAACTGGGTAGAGAAGATAGGGCGGGTCTTGTGCATCATACCCTCATTGGAGCCGTCGTTAAGGTTGACGAAGTACTCCTTGAAGTCGCTGGGGAGAGTGCTGATATCAACGGCATAACCGTGGTTCTGCGAGGTGATGTGGCACTGACCGGTGGTCAAGTCAAGAGCCGGGATGTTGTGGGCACGGTTACCATACTTGAGCTTGATGGTCTTGGCACCAACAGCGAGAGCAAGAAGCTGGTGGCCGAGGCAGATACCCATGATGGGAACAGAGGAAGTCTCCATAAGCTTGGCGAGGTTGTAGACAGTCTCCTGGCAGTGAGTGGGGTCACCGGGGCCGTTGGAGATGAAGACACCATCGAAGTTGTCGGCAACCTTTTGGATGGGGTAGTCGTAGGGGAAGACGGTAACGGAAGCGCCACGGCTAACCAAGCTGCGAAGGATGTTCTCCTTGACACCGCAGTCGATAAGAGCGACGTGGAACTTGCCGTTGGGGTTGGTGACCACGAAGGGAGCCTTGGTAGACACGCGCTTGACCAGGTTGATCTGGCCGGGGTCGACGAAACCCTCATCCTCATCGGCGTCGTACTCGTCACCAATGGAGATCCTGGCGAGGGAGGAACCCTGCTCACGGAGGTAGGTGACAATCGCACGAGTGTCAACACCGGAGATGGCGGGAATACCCTCGCTGGCGCACCACTCGCCCAAGCTCTGAACAGCGGTCCAGTGGCTGTACTGGGTAGCGACATCGGAGACGACGATACCGGCGCACTGGATGTGGGGGGACTCGAAGTACTTGAGGAGGTTGAACTCGTCACGCTCGTTCGAAGGGACACCGTAGTTGCCAATCAGGGGCTGGGTGAAGACGATAATCTGACCGCGGTACGAGGGATCGGTCATCGACTCGGGGTAACCAACAAGGGAGGTGGTGAAGACGGCTTCACCAGAGATGTTGGAGTTGGCACCGAAGGCGGTACCCTGGAAAACGGGGCCATCCTGTACGACAATATGTTAGTTTCGAGAAGTAGAGGCAAAGAGCATGCTCAAGGGGGCTAGTTATAGGTACGCACCCTGATGGTGAAGGTGGCCTCGGCGCCGGTGGCAGCGGCAGTAGTGCGCGGCTCACGGGCGGGCATGTTCCTGCCCTTGCTGCCGGTAACGGCGGGCTGGCTCAGGTTGCGAACCTGACGGGCGGCAACGCCATTGAGGGCAGACGCCTTGGGGAGACGAGCGGCCAAGCGAGAGAACATCTTGACTTCAGGGGTGATGGGGTGTGGTGGTGATTGGTAAGGCTGCTGGGTAACGAGAGGCTCTTATGCGCTAAGGGCCCTCCACAGATGGTCTGCAACACATGATTTATCGTCAGTATTCCTACCCGAAAGCGGTGAGTCAACCCGGACTCGGGGGTCGGAGGAGATGCGGACCTGAGAGATAATCCTATAAACGCAATAAGATTAGTTTTGGTCAAACACAACAAACAAACGGCAAGCGGCAGAATTGAGAAAGAGAAGTTCCCCCAGGATGGCTGCTGCGATATCTTAAGAGAAATATGCAGTCGGGATCCGTCGAGCTAAGCCTTGAGGATCGCAGATGCCCACATCTATAAAACCAACTTGAAGCGGAATGGCGCCAAGCATCCAGGTCGTTGGGTTCATGGCGGGTCATCCCAACTTCTCCGATACAGCATCGCGAGTCAGGCTGGTATGGGGGTTTCGTTGCTCATCCGGGGGACTTCTTGATGGACTGGGTAGATGGTGGCTGGATATCATGACAATGGAGGGGTTATCGCGTTATCGTACCTGAGAGGTGAAGACTGACGGGCGCCCGTTCATAAGGGCAGATTGTGACAAGACAAGTTCAGCTGAGGGGAAAAGGTTTGGACGAAAGAGTCCGAAAGTCGGGGGAACCGATTGGGGTTTTTGAGTGTTTTGCAGATGGGCAAAGGTTGATGACGGAGATTTAGAGTTGTAGAGGAGGGAAACTTGGATGCGCGCGAGATAAAAGAGGGTGCGAAAGTGGGAGAGGCAAATAGAAAAAGGGCGGCATTTCATTGGATCGGGCACAATTTTTTGAGCTTTTTGTCTTTTTCAGCCGAAGTGGCAGGGTCGGCGCCGACCTGATTGGCCCATGACTCGGTGACTCCCGCTGCTAGCGAGTCCCAAAGGCCGATTTACGGGGACCGAGGGGTAATTGATCGCGGTGTTGGGATGACTGGGATTTCGTTACGCTGCAAGTTCCACATGCCACTTTGACCATCCCTACTAGTCCCGGAGCCTCACAACTGGAATCCTCCATCCGCCATCCGGTGTTCAATATCGCAACCTCCGCCCACAACCCCAGCCACAGCATTCACAGAGAATCGACTCCAGCTCGGCATCTTCTGCCCGGGGGCGCCCCAAATCTCGGAGTCGGAGAGATAAAGGTGGATCCCCCGCCCTTTCGGTGACTCAAGTTGCGGGGACTTGTAGGATCGCAATTCGCTTCGCTTTCAAGCTTCTGAAGCTCCAAACCCAGGTTGCGCCAGAGCCGCCGTCGTGGTCGGCTGCACGAACAACGGAGGTTGCACGCAGACAGAGGAAGGAACAATCAAATCTGGCATCTGGTTCCAGCATATAATCCCGGCGACAACACACCAATTCAAAAAAGGCATCGTCACCACCTTGTCAAACCACGTAAGTAGCATCCTTGCGGTGGTGGTACCTTACAGCAGCCGAGCACCAATACATACGTGGGGGATGACAAGCTGCCACACGTCACATTGCATTTGATACATCGCGTAGCATCTGGATGTTGGGCATTACCGCTTTGGACGAAATCAGCTTCCTCGGCCGAGCACACAAGATAAAAGCAGGGACCAGAACACCTGGCGAGGTTTGCATCACTTGAAAACCGCAAGACACGACACGACACAATACATAGCCTCCTCCTACTGTTGCACTTGACGCGACACGTCGTGCGACGAAGTTGGCGCCAATGTGGCCGGCTAAAGCTTCTTTCATCTCAACTGGCCAGCTTGTAAGCATGCATGAAGAAGCTCCAGGCCCCCAGCCGTCAAGGTCCCCATAAGACGGCGTGACGTCCCTACGGGTTTTTAGAAACGCATTGTATCCAAGTGCGTATTTACAACATAGCTTTAGGGATGTGAACTTTATTCTTTCTATTCCAAAACAATGTGTTCGAGACAAGATCCTGGGAGTCAGCAACTGGTTGATGTATAACCAGTTTAAAGAGCACCAAGCTCCTTGAGCTTCGAGACCAAGCCATCCACATCCTCGACCTTGCCACCACCCTGTCTTGGGGGAGGCTCTGCACGACAGAGTTAGCGTCAAGCTTCCACCAGCCATATACGAATCGTAGTCCTTACCGGTGACCTTGATAGTCTTGAGCCTCTTCTCCGCCGTGATACCGTAATCCGCCAGCGTCTTCTTCTCGAGCGGCTTCTTCTTGGCCTTCATGATGTTGGGCAAGCTCGCGTACCTGGGCTCGTTGAGGCGCAAGTCGGTCGTGATGACCATGGGCAGCTTGGCCTTGAGCGTCTCGACACCACCGTCCACCTCCCTCGTCACCTGCACGGAATCGCCGCCGGTGAACTCGACCTTGCTCGCCTGGGTAGCCTGCGCCCAGCCCAGCAGGCCGGCCAGCATCTGGCCCGTCTGGCCGGCGTCGTCGTCGATGCTCTGCTTGCCCAGGATCACCAGGTTGCTCTTGTTCTGCTCGGCGGCGGCCTTGAGCAGCTTGGCGACGCCCAGGGGCTCGAGGTCCTCGCCCTCCTTGGTCTCGACGTGGATGGCCCGGTCGGCGCCCATGGCCATGGCGGTGCGCAGAATGTCCTGGGCCTTGGTCGGGCCGGCGCTGATGACGCAGATGTCCTCGACGGGGGTCTTCTTGCCCTCACGGATGCGCACGCTCTCTTCGACCGAGAGCTCGTCGAAGGGGTTCATGCTGTGCTTGACACCGGCCGTCTCGACGCCCGTCTGGGCCTTGTTGACTCTCGGCTTGACCTGTAATTGATTGAAGGGTATCCACATCAGTCATCTGTACTCAGGTAGGTACAACAGCATACCATGTAAATGCGTAGCAGGGACTCCATATCGGGATTGTTGTATCATGCGTGTACGCGCGCTGTGTTCTTGTTGCCATTGACTGGGTAGGTAGTATAAGAATTGAAGACATACCGCATAGTCAATAACCCGCTTGACGGGCACCAATATCCGTAGGGCTGACATTGTTTTGTGATATCTGGGGAAAAGGGTGGGATGAGGGTGGGTGGACTCGATGGCTTAAGCTCTGGTCGCAATCACATCAGACTCAGTTTCAATGACAGGACGGGGGGACGATGACGAACCGCCGTCCGTCCATGCAGCGGGTCCCGCCGGCCAGAACCGATGCCAACCTCGGTCAAGCGCACGGTGCCTACGGTGGCACGGCGTGCACAGTATGACACCCTAACCCTAACCCCGACAGCGACTCTGACCCCTGAGATCCTTGTGGAGGACGATGTCAACATGTGATGATAACCTCGAGTCCTCGACAATACTACTACGACGATGCCACTCGGTGTTATCCTTCAATAACCCTGTTGAAATAAAACGTCGTTGTAGAGCCTGTTACGGCTTACAGAGATGGACCACCAGCTGACACTCGCCTGCCTCTCTAAGCACCTCTCCGATCTTCATAACCTAGCTGTGAATCCTCCGACGCCGGAGTAGGTTCGGGGTAGTTATCCATCAGTCTAAACACACCATTTTAACTCTACAAGGTGGCCTCACCTTGGACACAGCGCAGTTGACCCGTATCAGCCCAAATGACAAGAAATAGACATTCAATTATACGTTGTAAATGATCCATTCACGCTCTTCCACCTCGCTATTCATCCAACAACGCCACAGACCAACAAACCATCTACCAATCATCCCACTCGTCCTTCTTAGAAGCTGCTGGGGCAGGAGCAGTGGAGCTACCGCTTCCGCCCTTGCCCATAACTGCTGTCCCGATCGAGCTACCACCGGCTGCCTTTCTCTGGTCCGCCACGCTAGAGAAATCATCCCAGAACGACCTCTTGCTCTCGTCAAAGTTGCTGCCACCACCGCCAGAGGGAACTGACCTATAGCCGCCAGGGGAGTTGGAAGGTCCTCCCTCGACAAACCGGTTGAAGCTCTCTGACGCGGTTTTGGCGCCAGCCTGTGCTACAGTCTGTGCTGAAATGGCGGCTTGCGCTGCCGCAACACGGGCTTTTGCAGCGAGCTCGGATTCGGCTATCTACAGTGGGCGGAAGATGTCCAAATTAGCAAACATGTATCTCGAAAGTGATTCAAGCAAGTTGGTCCTGGGCCAATGCCTGACAGAGGGAGGGGTTGAAGGACCAAGGATACACACCTGCTTAGCCGTAGGCTGGATATAACCCTCGTTAACCGTCTTCGCCGTCTGGGTCACCGTCTTGGTGAACCATCCGAACCCTTTACTTAGCGCCGCCACGGGGTCCTTCTGCAACTCATCGAGTCCCGGCAAGCTCGCGCCGCCATCGTTCTTCGGCGACGACACCGTGTTTCCGAAGCCCTGATACTTTCCTCCCTGGCTAGGCGGCAAGTTGTCCGGTCTGCTGGCGTTGGCAGCCCCCAGCTTAGCAAAGTACTTGTCGTCCACCTTGATCGTCGTTCCCGGCTTGGGGCTTGCCGTCCTGCTGCTCGTGCCGCTCAACGGCACCCCAGCCGCGCCGCTGCTCGAACTCTGACTTGTCTCCTGCTGCTGCTGGAGTTGTGGCTTCTTCTCCCCAGGCACGTACTCCCTTCCCTCGACCTTGGCGCTCAGCCTCTCCTTGTATTCTTCACCAACCTCTCCGCTGTATCGCTCCGCGATCGTCGCATCGTCCCAGGTGATTCCGCGCATCTTGGTGTCGGAGTGGTTCTCGAAGAACGTGCGCCAGTTGTCGTTGCCGCCGAGCCGCATGCGCTCGATCTCGGCCTGCTTGAAGGCGTCCATGGAAACCGAGCGCACAAAGGAAATGTGCACACCCAGACCGCGATGGACGCCCGCGCACGAGAGGCAGATGAAGATGCCGAACTTGGGCGAACACCATTGCGGGCTTGGGGCGCCACAATCGATGCAGATGTTGTTGTTGTTCTCCTTCTGCATCGCAGCGAGCTACAAGGGTCCAAAGTTAGCCAGGAGATTCCAGTATGCCTTGCGTCAACATGTCGCTTTTTTCCCTTGGATCGTGCAGCCAATATTGGAAGGACAGCCTTGGGCGGGCTGGTGGTAAACGTACCTTGGACTTCGTCTCCGGGTCTATCTCCCACATCCCTTTGGTAGCCATGGTGGGCAGCTTGTACGTGTAATTGTGCGCGGTGCCTGGTATCGTAGTTTCTCGCTGGGACGACCGGATTGAGAACAGAGTCTCGTCGAAGGGAATTGAAATAAGAAGTTCGCAGTCGTCTTTGAATTGCGCTGTGTTGCGTCGCGTGGTGTTTCGGATTACAGTAGGGGTTGTCTGGTGGACAATCAGTCGGACAGACAATTGGCGGCTTGAATGATGAAGCCGCCCACGCTATTGCAGGCACCCCCTGCCCTACGGCCACCTTCGTTTTAGTGGCACCGGAGGAGCGGCCAGCCAGGGACGGAAACCCGACCCGAAGTGCTGAAAGTCGAGGCATGTTGTTCATTCACGTTTCTCAACCGGCCATGTTTACGATGTCATAAAGTACTACAATTAAACTTTGATATTTCATTCTGGCTTTGCTAATATTTTAGGTACGTGAGATCAAATCCAGCAAAACGTATGTCTGTAGGTAAAGATCTGTATCTGATGGAAGCCACATTGATGGTGCGTATTTACAAGCCAGCTCGTCCGTCCATCCTTTAGGATCCTACCTTCCCATCACATCGACCATTCATATGTTTTGTGCGAAGGTCCAGACCTGGTCTTCCCTCATCATTCGTCACTGCGAATAAAGATCAGGGGCGTTTCAGGGGACGGCTTGTTAAACGGGGAGCTGCCCCTCTCTGCCCTGCAGGAACATCTGCAACTGTCCCCAACAAGGCACGCAAGGCACGGGCAGTGGATCCATTCACTTATCCAAGACAATGCCTCACGACCGATTCCCATACTGAGGGTGAGAGGTTGCCTGATCGTTACAAAACGACTTCACCCGTTGACGTGTTGAGCATAGTCAATAAGTCCTTGTCCCAATCATGTCTATTTTCCTATTCCTAGACCGATTTGACCGACCATCTCCTACAAGTCTGAATATGCTAAAACACCAGATGAATGTAAGCGACCATGAGTAAAGATGGTCCATAACACACAGATGAAGAAGAGAAGTCATAAAAATATTAGATTTTTGTTGCCTGCAAAGAGCCGCAAGATAATGATGCCTGAAGTCTACCAGCGATTTGAGGCCTTTGCAACCCCCCATAACCCGTGACGCCAGACATGATCACATTATCCCACCGCCCAATCTTCCCGCTTTCATACCCACTTGCAGATCCCGCCATAAAAAGAAAATCATTCATTCCGTGCCAAAATCGTGAGGGTAAAAATGCATGCGCCCAGTAAAACATAAGACGTGTGTCGGTCGAGATTAAAGTAGTGTCTGTGACCGAAATCTTTATTAACTCGTGCGCACGCTCATCTCGTCATCAAATGGAGTGTTTAAGCAGAGGCGGTAACAGCAGCGCCAGCCTGCTCGGTAGTGCCGTTGGTGGGGGCCTGGGCCTGAGCCTCGCCCTCGGGCTCGTTGGCCTCCTCGTCGGTCTTGTCGGGGCTGTCGATGGCGACCTTGACAGCGATCTCGCGGCCCTCGATCTCCTTGCCGTTCATCTCAGCAACAGCCTTCTGCTGGAGCTCCTCGGAGGCAAGGGTAACGAAGCCGAAGCCACGGCCCTTGCGGGGCTCACCCCGGGCCTGAAGCTTCTTAATCATGAAGCGAGGGATGGGGCGAAGAGCAATCTTCGCGGAGGAAGGCTGGTAAGCAGCGAAAAGTTCCTTGAGCTGTGGAAAGGGTTAGCGTGTCTCCAGGTATGGTACGGGTGGGCAGGAAAACTCACCTTCTCCTCGGTCAAGTCGTAGGGGAGGTTGGCGACCATGACCTTGGTCTTGGAAGGAATGCCGTCAGCCGGAGGGCCGCGCTCGCGGCGCTCACGGGGAGAGCGGTTGTGGGGCTTGCCGGACTTGTTGTCGCTGTTGTGAGTCTCGTTGGTGATGTCCTTCAGAGCCTCGGTAGCAGGGGAAGTGGAGCCCTCGGCACCCTCCTCCTTCTTCTCGCCCTGGGCAGGAATGTCAGTTTCTGTGTGCATTTCACCGTTAGACATGCGAGTGAGACTTACACGATCGCCACGAGCACGGCCGCCACGGCCACGACCGGCGCGACCGCGACCGCGGGTGGACTGGCGGCGGCGAGTGCCCTCATGGCCCTCACCGTTGGCACCCTCGGCCTTCTCGTTCGACTCGGGCTTGCGAGCGAGCTGGACGGAGACCTTGCGCTCGAGGATCTCCTTGCCGGAAAGCTCAGCGATGGCACGCTCAGCCTCGCTGGGGGTAGAGAGGTCGACGAAGGCATAGCCGACAGGGCGGTCGGTGCGAGGGTTCTTGGGAATGGAAACAGACTCACTACACGCAACGAAGCTGGTTAGTAACGGACGAGCACACGTAACACGAGACCAAGAAAACCGAATGTCAACCCCACCCTACGGCCATGCCAGCGGCCCACTCTCACAGCCAGAGGAGCGAGGTGGATGACGTGACGTCAAAGGACCAAAGGGGGCTAAACCAGGATAACACGATGGAAACGGGAAGAGGAATGAAGCTTGTGGCGTGCAACTGCTTCCAGCCGCGCAAATACAATCCGAACAAGGCGGGGAAGCGGGATGCAGGGAAACAATGCAAAGGCGGTGAGAGAACAAGGGCAGGCAGCGACAAAGGGAAAAGGGTAGGCGGGACGAGCCAAACTTACACAAGGTAGCCCTTGAAGAATTCTTTCAACTCCCCCTCCGTTGTCGCATAGGCAAGGTTGCCGATGTAGAGGCGGCGACCCTCGGCGGCGCTGGCGAGAACAGCATCGTTGGCGGCGGGCTTCTCGTCAGCGGACTTGTTGCCAGTCAGAGAGGTGTTGGCCAGAGCATTGGTAACGTCGTTGACGGCGGCGGCAGCAGCGTCAGTGATTTTCTCCACGACAGCAGACATGGTGATTGATTGTGATGTCGAAAGTTGACTTGGATGGAGTAGGTGATCCACAAGAGGTGACGTGAGCGTTGGACTCGTTCGGATAGGGAGATGAGCGCCTGGGGTGTTGTAAGGACGTTCACGGACGAGAAAGGTTGAACTCTGGGTCTGAGGGGGAGTCAGAAGGGTAGCTTGGTGCCCTAGATAGCTTGAGGGGGGTTTTGGTTGAAGGTGGGTTGAGCGGACTTCAGATTGCTTGAATGGTTGACGGGAAGAAGAGAGGAAGAGAAAGGAAAGGATCAGGTGTTGGTGAGTCGGCGCGCTCCAAATTTCAAATATTTTTTGCTACCGTTCGGGGAATTAAGCGAAAGGCTGCGTGGCGGCTTTGGCCCAGGTACGTCCGGTACGTCCCCATAGTACCTGCCCTACACCTGGACGCAAGGCAGGTTCCAGCTTCCAGTTGTCACTTTACGCTTCCAAATCGCTGAAGTGGACAACGGACGAGTGCCAACTGGGGTAGGCAGCATGTACCAGCCTGGCCAGTGTGGGCAGGTGCAAGTCAGCGCACTTGCCCCCAGGGTTTTTGGACAGCCAAACTCCGGGCTTCCAGGCTCAGTCCGTCCGCTCGGGCGTCGATTTTAATGTACGACGCCTCCGAACGCACCTTCACTGCGTGAACAGAAGGCCGAACCGGGCACAGTTACAACCGCCCGGACTGTGGTGCAGCAGCAACGGACCCGACCTCAACAAGCGTCAAGCGCTGCCCGCTGAAATGAGGGGAGGCGCGGACATGAACCACTGAACATTCGCAAGTGGCAACGACTCAGGGATACGCCATCATCGTCGTAGGTCTGCCAAACGCCAAGGTCTGTCCGCTTGTCCTGCCATTTGGGATCCACAGAAGGGGAAAGGAGCGTGGAGAAGCTCAAGCATCAGGGAAGCACAGTGCGGCGCAGTTAATGCGATGTGATGGGAGATGGGAGCGGTTGTAGGGTTGGTGAGTCTATCAACTTGAACTTACCTACAACTCGTGGAAAGACCGATATAGCGTCCTGTCTTTGGAAGTGTTGTGTCTTGGCTTGACGGACTCGGAGTCTTTGATGAGGCTTTGTGCTAGTACTATTGTCCCGTCGTTGATAACGGCGCGTTCCGAGTCGATCTTTCCGGGGAATGTTACCGGGCTGCTGCGAGGGCTATGAATTGTCAAAGAAGGGAAGAACGAACGAGGTGGGTTGAGGAACGATTCCTGCTTTCTTTTATAGCTGAGCAACTGCCCGTTCTTTCCCTTCACAGGTCTATGTGGGATGGTATGCATGTTACAATAGCAAGGTCATCTGCATCGGATCGCTGCTTGGGAAGGGAAGATGGCTTTCCATCTCAAGTGACATGTGCCATTCACGATCAGCCTGCTCAACCTACGACCTTTACAGATGTCCTTTCAAGTTCTGCAGAAGTGACTCGCGCTCCATCGTACGTTAAAGATGAAACCGGGTGAGCGTTTGAGAATGCGACTGGACCGACTATTGAACCAGATCAAAATGTCTATACTATCGATATAGGATAAACTGGCATACACTTCACCTGGGCGAGGCTATGAGATGGCCTTGCTCCTGGTTAGCGAGAAGCAAGTGACACTGACTCTTCGAACGGTAAAGGGATATATCCCCGAGGTCAACTATCGTAGTGACATATCGGGCCACAGTTCCCGGTCAGCTGCAGAACGTACTGTATCTTTGCACGCTCTTTCACTCAGCCTGACTCTGGTCATGGTCAGAATGTGAGTAAAATCCGATGTCAACTCGGCTCTTTCGCATGGTGAGATGGTTGCTGGCGGTGATGTATAAAATACTCTAGTCCATATCACCGTGTGCGATACTGTGTATGTTTCCACTGCAGCCCCATTAACTTTCAACTCCACCTGAGCTTCTTGCCTTCCGGGATTGAAGCTGTTGTCGTTCGGCGAGAGACAGACGGGCGGCACTCAGCCGCACAAAGAACGTTTGCGCATGCATTCTCATTGGCTCCTTGAAATAGGAGTGAGCCAGAAGCAAGTGATGTGTGTGATCCAATCGATAGGTTTTTGACGACGGTGCGGTATGAAACAGCGTCGAGATGGCTCGCCCGGATTATGACACGCTTCGGCGTCGAAAGTGGCTCCCACTTGGTTGCGGAATGACGTGGATGTGGCATCCGCTTTCTAGACGCTTCCAGGTTCCTAGCGGATGCTTTCCACTTGTGCTCCACTGTCAAAAACGGGTTGGAGCCGTGCCCCAAAACATCATCACGATCCTCCACCATGGAGGGGGCCGAGGGTCTTTCAAGTTGTGAACAGGAAAAAAGGGGGTGATCTTGGCCATACCGACAGACTGCGTACGTACCAACCCAAGGTGTCGGGTTATGCCGGTATTTCCCCTCATCCGCACAGGTCTACTTGTCCGGGGTTCATTCATGCGTTGCACGGCTTGGATGCGGAGGCTTGAAGTCGTCCCCAGGCTGTCTAGGCTTTCGCTTGCAAAAGGCAGGACCCCTAAATCACGATGCGGGGCAAATGGGAGATGAGAACCACTCGAGCGGTTCACCGCCTATGCATCGAGGAAGCTATGAATGTTACGTTAACTAGGCTTTCCAAAACGCGTGGATGGGGATGGCAAAGCAAGCATCACGAATAATGTTGTTGAAGGTTGGCAAGGGCAGGTGGTCGGTTGGTCGGTGAAAGGTGTTTCTATCTTGAGGCTTGAAACAGGCCGAAACTGGCATTCCGTGCTAACGTGCAAGGCCTGGCCAGCGCTCCGTCCCCGTGTCATTCAACTGGAAAGTGGGAGGTGATTACAAGCTAGAATCCGAACGTTAGCAGGACCTCGCGTTCCATCAGAGCCAAATTACCTGGCGGAAACCGTCACTTGCACCACTTCCCGTCCTTCGTGGTGTGCTAAGTATGTCCGGACCAGTGAGGTGTCCTTCCCTTCCCCGCGCCGGGCGCTCCGGGTTTTGGTGGGGGCCGAGATCGGGGCGCCACCCCGCCTGTGGGCTCCGATAGCCTGCTGTGAGATGTTTGTGCTTGATACAGCGATGGCCTTCCCGCCCCACTACCAACTACAGCTCTTTGCTCATCAACCCAGACGTCCAGTAAGTTCGCGAGAAATTGCCAACCTACGCAAAGAAAAGACATTGTCTATCCGAGGGCGCCCCAGCTTCACGGGTGACGTACCCAGTGATCCGAATCGAGGCAGTCAGTTGCGCACGGGTGGTTCAAGACAATCCGCGGGCTCGTGCAGTGGGGAAAGCCCAGACCTCGAGTGCCTTTTTATCGGCCTTTTTTTTTGAGAGCTCGTTCAATTACCCGTCCATACCCGTGATTTTCCATCTTCAACACAGATAACCCTACGTTAACCCGGAAGGGAGAGGAGTTCTTGTGTTCTTGTAACCCTCCCGGTTCTGCCTACCTGAACTCAAATAGCACCCGTCTTTGGGTGGTGAACTTTCTCATATTAGTCATACCTGGACAGGTTGGCTGCGAGGTAGATCTGGTAGAACTCAAAAAGTTCAACCATACATCCTGGCCAACAGCCTAGAACACTTACTGGCACAACCCAGGAATCACTCATATTAAAGAGAAGATCATGGGGGAATCCGTGGAAGCAGCTTCGGTTGCTAAGCCGGCCACCATAGAGGGGAGAAATATCATCATACTCTATGGGTCTGAAACGGGAAATGGAGAGGAAATCGCCATGGAGCTGGCCAAAATGGCTGAAAGATTACACTTCAATACTGTTGTTGATGAGATGGATGCCTTCAAGTTGGTGCGTTTCACTGTGTGTGCTCATCAATGTATTATACATGCTGATTTTCTTCTTGCCAGACGGACTTGTTGCGCTACTCTTTGGCCATCTTTGTCACCTCCACTACCGGTCAAGGTGATATGCCAAAGAACACAACCACGTTCTGGAAAAACCTTAGACGCACAAAGCTCAACAATACCAACTGCCTTGCACCTGTAAAGTTCACCATCTTTGGACTTGGTGATAGCTCCTATCCAAAGTAAGATTACACCTGTTATCTCTGGACACTCGGATTGGAATAGCATCAGTCATGACATTAAACCATCATAGGACCAGAAACTGACTTCTCTCGTTCTTAAAGGTTCAACTGGGCAGCGCGGAAGCTTCGTGTGCGGCTATTGCAACTTGGGGCTTCCGAATTCTTCAGACCTGGCGAGGCTGACGAGAGACATGAAAATGGGTGAGTGAAATTTACATGGCACTTCTATGCTCTGCCACAAGTAATTGTTTCATTTAGCTAACACAAGCCCTTAAAACAGACTCGACAGCATCTATCTACCCTGGTACCAGGAGTTGAGAGAGTCACTGTTATCACAGTTCCCTCTTCCAGAAGGCATGGAGCCCATACCAGACGACGTTCAACTTCCACCAAAGTACAACATCCGACTGGGCTCGGTCAAGGACAAAATAACGAACGGCGAAGGCCATCTCTCGCCAGCCGAGGACGGTGAGAAGCTAGCGGCAAAATTTGAGCGGATGAGCACCGACTCTCAGGAAAATGAGGCTCCGGGCCAGAAGGATGGAACTGGAGTTCCAGATTTCCCACCAGCCAAATTGTTGCCAATACCCGGCTCTTTCACAGCGGAAGTTGTTTGCAACAAGAGGGTGACTCCAGAGGACCACTGGCAAGACGTCCGACACATTGAACTCAAAGTTCGCGCTCCAGGACGCAATGGAGCCGTATCCTTTGCAGGCCAAACACTCCTAATTTACCCCAAGAACTACCCCGAGGATGTACAAAAGCTTATCGACTTGATGGGATGGGGTGAGGTTGCCGAGCAGAGGATTGAGATTGACTGGGCAAAGAACACTCGGCCAAGAGACTATCATTTCCCACAGGGAGCAACAGTTCGCGACGTCCTGACGCACAACTTCGACATCACCGCCGTCCCCAAACGGACATTCCTCGAGTTCATGGCCTACCACACCACCAACCCTCTCGAGAAGGAACGTCTCCAAGAGCTCACACAACGAGGTGACAGTGACGAGTTCTACGATTACACCTCTCGCCCGCGCCGAACCATCCTGGAGGTCCTTGAGGATTTCCCCGGCGTCAAGATCCCCTACACCCGACTCCTCGAGTTCCCCATCATCCGCGCCCGCGAATTCAGCCTCTGCAACGGAGGCGATCCCACAGTCAAGGAGGACCAAGTCATCTCCAACTCCAACGAACAAGGCCGAGACAACGTCTACAAGTTCGAAATCCTCGCCGCCCTTGTCCACTACCGCACCATCATCCGCAAACCCCGCCAAGGTCTCTGCTCGCGCTACCTCCGCCACCTGCCCGTCGGCACCACCATCCAAATCGGCATCAAGCCGCCCAGCAGTCCCTTTGCCATGGACGACCTGTCCTTCTACTCGCGACCGCTCATCGGCGTCGCGACGGGAACGGGCATTGCTCCGTTCCGCGCTTTGCTTCAGGACCGTTGTTGTCTTGTCCAGAACAAGGAGAAGATGATGGGCCCAACCCTCCTCTTCTTCGGCTGCCGCAACGCTGCCGCCGATTACCACTTCCAGGCCGAATGGCGCCCCGTACCCAACCTGGTCGTCCACCCCGCATTCTCCCGGGACAACACCTCCGACACCTCCTCTTCCTCTACCGAAGAAGAAGAAGAAACCAAACTCGCGGCCCTCCAGCGAGCAGCAGGCATCTACGACGCAGGCAAGAACTACGTGCAACACCAAATCCGGCAGCATGCTGCGGAGGTGGGCAAGTTGTTGAGGGAGAATCCCATCATTGTCGTTTGCGGAAATAGTGGACGGATGCCCAAGAGCGTGAGGGAGGCGCTGGAGGATGCGGCGGTTGTGAGTGGGGTTGTGAGTGACAAGGAGGAGGCGAAGGGGTGGTTTGATAGGAGGGAGAATTGTGTTTATTGGCAGGAGACTTGGTAGTAGGTTGGGGGACTGAGGGGCTGTTGAGTGTTTGGTGGTTGGCTGGTTGGTTGGTGAGGTTTGGTATGGGATCGTTGGCATGGGGAGGTGAGCGAGGAATGGGATGGGAACCGAAAGTGGAGGAGGATGAAGAGGAAAGGACGAAAGCAAAGGAAAAGGCGGAGAAACGAAAGCAGATGAGAAGAGGAAGTATGAGGCGAAGAGGGGCTTGTTAAAAGGGGTGATTGAATTGATTTAGAGTTATGTACATACAAACGCTGGACACAGGTACCTAGGTAGAAAACGAAGCCTGGTTTTCCCATCTGAAGAAGTGCTCGCGACCGTAAGAACATCTTACTGCATCACATCACCAGTAAAAAGTGATGGAAAAAGGATTCAGTTTGATCGAGGTTCGCATTTGCAATGGTAATTTGACTCTTTTTTTCCGCTATTCTGGTAATCATTTGATTCTTTCCTGCCTTCCAACCCCTTCCCTCTCTTCAACTCTCTTCAACTCTGTCCTCTCGCTCTTTCTTGTGCGTCAAAACAATCCAGTCCCCCCCAGACATCCCTTTCAGCTTATGTTTGTTCTTCTTCCGCAACATATCTGATAAGCAATATTCTGTCACCAGCCTCATGGTCGATACCATGAATGTTTGTTATTCTGACTGCTGCTGCTCCTCATCCAACCCCAACTCAACGTTTCCAACTCAAACAAAAAAAACACACGTAACCCACCAAAGAAACGCCAATTTTCTCTTTCATAAACAAAAAAATACAGGACATCGTCGCAAATCGTTCGACGTCCCCCCAATGGTATAAACCCCCTGTCCCGTTTCCCGTGTCCCGTTTCCCGTGTCCCGTTGATCCAAAAACTCCGCCGTCCGGATGTATATACGATGGTACAGTAAAAAGAAACTCGTTAAGAATGTCTGTTGGTCGGAGCGAGTATGATGTGTGTGTGTGTGTGTGTGTATGTTACAAACGATGTTACTGTCGTGGGTTGAGAATGAGGTTGATTGATGGATGGATATCATCGAGTCTCAGCTTCCCAACTATACCGCTGCGCAGCCACTTGCGGAACATGAACTAATTCCGAGCCAGCCTCTATTCGTTCCATGCTTCGGGGGCTGCTGGGGAAGTCGTCGGTGGGGCTGGTGGTATCGTCTGCTTCTCGTCCTCGTCGTTGTGGTTGTTGTTGTTGATGTTGTTGACATGATGTTGGTGATATCGGCGATGATGCTTGCTGCTGAGCCGCCGCACTTCGCTGCGCAGCCAACTGCACCTGCCTCAACCGACTCTCTTCCTCCATAGTAAAGTTGGAACCCAAGGTCTCATTAGAACCGCGGGTTACCGAATCTGAACGTCTTAGAGGACCATCAACATCGGCATCGGCATTTCCTGCAAGTTGGTCGTATTGTTCCGCTAGATGTAGTCGGCCGTCGGGCGTGATGATGCGTGGCACAGTTGGCCGATGATGCGGATGCGGATGGTGTGATCCTGGTAGTCGCACGTTTGCCGGCATCGGTCCGAGACAGACTATTTGGGTGTGGATGGGGTCGATGGGTGTACGCTGTATCGCCGCGCTGCCGGGCAGCGGGACCGGTCCTCCGGTTGGTGATGTAGGGGATCCTGAACCGCCGTTGGAGTCGGATGACGGGCTCACTGGTGATGGAAGGTATGTGTGAGGTGAGTGGGGGGAGTGTAACGAGACTGGCGAGTGGCCGGATGTTGGATCGGCAAAACCTGTCGTCGTTGGGAAATGGTGTAGCCGGACGGGAGAGGCCACGGTCATTGGTGATGGCAGATCGAACACTCTACCGGCCGCCCAGTCTGCATTTGGCGACAAGGGCGATGGCAGCGAGTTGGGGAGGGAGTCGGTGTTGGCGTATGTAGGCGACGATCCGGGGGAAGGTTCTTCGCTGGGGCGGTAATAAACGGGGGTTACATCCTGTGCTGACTTCTCGTTGGGATATCCAGCAGCACGCTCGTTGTGCTCCGTTGTCGGCGTGTAGGTCGGTACCGGCCCCTGAAGTTGTCGCTCGAGCTTTCGCCGCGCCGCTTCATATTCGCTCATGTCCCGAGAACCATCCAGCCCGAGGTTGGCGTCGTCATTTCCAATGTCATTGTTATCCAACTCGATCGGCTCAGGGGGGGCCGGCAGTTCGAACACCTGATGATGAGCGTCCGCACCGACCTCAACAGGTTCGCTTATGGTCACCTCCGTCTCTTGCGACGTCGATTGCTTCCTTGACCTCCTCCTTCCAACAAACATCGACAGCATTCGGCTAACCGGGCTCTGTGCTGGTTCGTCGTGTACCGGGGCAACTTCCTCCGTGCCGTGATCCAGTTGTTTACGGGCCTGGTTTTTCTTCGCCTTCGATTTTCGCCGGCAACACAAGAACGAAATCAGTCCGATCACACTGCCAGCCGCAAAAGCACTAACCACGATTGCCACCGTTTGTCCCACACCCAGCGGCTTTTTGGTCGACTTCTTAACCGAGGGACCCTCGGGATAAGGACTATTCGGTGGCCTTTCGATAGCCTGTAAGGAGTGATTGGTGGCTGAGTTGTCGGGAAACAGCGCTTGATGGATAGAAAATGTAGCCTTATCGTAGTTGGTGATGATGTATGCTTCCTGCATGAATACTCGGCCTATAATATACTGGTTGTTGTTTGTTTCATCTGTTGATCGTGTCAAGGGGAAATACGGTATGCTTGACTCGTTGAACTTGATAACGTTCTTCCAAGGATAACGCAGGACCTGGGCAAATGCTGCAGGAGGGATGGTGATGTTGACCACTCCTGGCATGTTGAGAGGGTAACCGAAGTTGTCGCTGTTATCGTAGCTGGAGACGGTAAAAGTGAATGACAATTCTTCGGTGGATTTCATGTGTTTGTACTTGAGATATTGACTTCCTCCGTTCGCAAAGACATAAACACCAAGGTCCTCCCTCCAAACCAGGTCAAGGGCAGAGGCAATACGTTCGCAAATCTCGGTTGGGAGCCAGAGGAACGGCGTTGACGAATCGATCATGGCGGTGATAGAATCGTTCATGGCGACGAAAGTCTGAGAGGTCGATGTCCAGTTCCCAGGCGCCTTGTCCAAGGACGGGACTTGAGCAGTGAGGCCTCGAAGTCGTACAGTGGGCGCTCGGTCATTAGGATCCGCGTTTGAGTTTCCTATGTAGAGCCTGAAGGTTGTATCATGTGGTACAAATCTCAATGTATCATAGCCCCCAAGGGTCAACGAGGCATGTGTACCGTTTGCTAAATGAAATCAGTTCTGATTGTTCAAAGAGTTTATCATACGGCTAAGACGATCATAAGGGTCAAGTGCTTACTAGTAGTGTCGCGGTAGTGCGCCCCTGCCGTATATCCGTAGCTATGACTGGAAATCATGCCATCCACTTCGGCGAGTTGGGTGATGAGAGGGTAGGTAACGTTAGAGCCTATGCGGCCTTGAGTCACGCCGAGTCCGATGTAGCCTTGATAGTATTCGGTAGCATTGACAGCAGCAATCAGTACGCCATCAATGGAGGTGGCAGAGCTGGCCATTGTATCGACGAAGGCGACGGTATCCAAACCATAGTCGCCATTCCTCTGAACACCGATGTGGTTCATACCCAGCTCGTAAGCACCCGCCCCCAATGTTTGCCATGTCTCCGAGATGTGATGGTCAAAGACACCACCACGAGCGTCCACACATGGCTGGTCTTTTTCGTTGTGGTTAGATCAGGAACCGTAGTGTATAAAGGCAGGAATAACTTACTGCCTGGGCCTGATGCGCAACCGCCGGCCCCAATAACCCACGTCTCGGATAGGGCAGTGGCAGGTGTGAGATAGACGATCTGGGCGGGAGAGCCCACGGCAAACATGAAGTTTGACCAGGTACCGTCGATGCCATACCATTCCCCGGACGGTTGAACCCATACTGGTTCTGGTGATGTAGTCGCTGTCGTACCTGCGCGGACAAGTGAAGGCACCGATGACAAGAGCAGGAAGCCAGCAGGACAAACGGCGAAAGAGAGGTAGGGTAACCGCATCTTCGCAGCAGCGTGGCCCGAGTTGGCGTTGTCGTAGACGGACAGACAGCCGGACTGGGGACGCAAGCGTCCAGGGCTATGTCTGTCACCAGAAGTACCGGCACGACCAGCAGCAAGAGGGGAGCGAAGGTCGAAGTCGGGGTCCTAAGACATGGAGAAGGACGACCTGGTATTCCATGAGCTGCAATCAAGCTCCGGTCCGATCCAAGCCTGTGCCCTATACAGATTCAAGAAGCCGTAACACTCGGTCGAGGAGTAAAAAGCTGTCGTGCTATGTAAGGTAGGTATGTTCTGTTGCCGGTTGAAATCTCGCCTTGTTTCCAGTGTTCCAGGAGGGCAAACCCCATTCGTTCCACTGGCCCGGTGTGAGAGTACCTTGAAGGCGTTCGTCTTTCTGCTTCTAGTCCTGACGAGTAGCCGGACTAAAACCCGGACTGGACTGGACCTGGACCTGGACCTGGACCAAGAAGGACGAACACACCCAAAAGCGAGGGACCAATGATGTTGAAGAGATGTGCGGGCGAATAGACGAACGGTGTCGTCGAGGTGACACCAAAAGACGGGACGGGGGGAATAATCTGGGTCCCAGGGTAGGTAGCGAGCTGTGTGTGTAATGATGGGACGACGGCAAAAACCAGCCGCTCGGATCGGAAGCGATTGCTTGGGATAAGAGAGAGAGGGAAAGAGAGTGGGCAAGAGAAGGGAAGCTGAAGCTTCCGGATGGAGAAGAGGGAAGGATGATAGATTAGATTTGTCGGCCTACAAGGTAGGTGGTGTAAGCTGTAAGGCAATGTACAGACTAGGGTAATTACAAACGACGGATTCCAGGTTCCCGGCCTGTCGTGGCACTCTGTTGTACTTGAATACAGGTTGTACAAGACCGTACCTGGTGGGCTCGCTAGGCTTACCTTCAGGTTGGAAGTGGAATGGGCCTGCCTCCCTTGAGACCGAGGAGATGGCCTTTATGATACGAATACTGGACAGAGCAATTTCTCTGCGCAGGCGGGTAGGGAAAAAGATGGTCCTACGTTGTACGGCCGCGGGACACTTTGTCTGATTCGGAAGGATCAGCGCTTGACAACTGGACGACACGGGTCCTGACAGCACCTCAGTTAACTCGGTTGGCGGGCTCGAGGCGGGCTGGAAAGGAGAGGAGAGACAAGTCAGAGACACTGGCCGTCCGTGGTCAGCAGATAGACAGCAGATAGACAGAGAAAAAGAGGGTTAGGTTCTGTTTCTTGCGCCCGTCCTGGCATTCCTTCGTCCTTGGCAAGATTGCCGTCCACGGTTGTTGGAAGCGAGGGAAAGTCGGGGAAGTGTACGGTAAGGTAACACACGGGAAATAAACAGAAACGAAGCTTGTAGAGAGACCATTTAATGACCGGGATCCAGACGTGTCTCCCCCCCTCCCCGTCTTGGTTGGTTTCGGAGATAGCCCAAGATGCTATAGCTTAACAAGTGGATATTCCCACTTTCCATTGTTCGCATGTGCTCGTTTCTGGGCAATGGAATTCAAGTATGCTTTATGACATGCACATGTCATGTGCCTCTATTCCCGCCTGTTGACTGTTCTGAGATGTGCGCATGTCAATAGAAGTGGGTTGAGGGTCGAAGGTTGAAGGTTAAAGGTTATTAAAGACGTTAGGTGCTGTTAGTGCAGATGCGCAGTTACGGTAAGGCAGCGGTGGGTCCAAGTCTTAGTTCTTAGCAGAAGCTTATCTTATGTAAAGAGCTGAGTGACCAATGACAGACAGGGGCCCATCACCTGTGTAACTTACCGGTAGCTCGTTTCCATCGGCCGGCCCCTCCAATCCTCCGATGCCCATCTTTCCTTCCAAGCCGCCATCATCATTTCAACGTTTTTTTTTTTTTTTTGTATTGTTTTCCTTTCTTCTTCACACGGCCACACATGCAGTGGTAGACGTCTCCCTAATTTCATTTTCAATGACATGAACTGAGCTCGTCCCTCATCACCAGGGACACTGCGAACAGCCTTTGAAGGCCATCACCACAACGCGATCTCGCAATGCAACCTCCGTGCCTCGACAATCTCAATCTCGTCAACACCATCCACATGTCGCCGGAATGCAAGGCACGTAGGGCAATGGCGCAAGGGAGTGGCGAGCGTGCCGACTCGGTACCGACTCCGACACCCGGTGGCAATGGAATGGGTGATGCCGCCTTCGCCAGTCACCTCACCCAACCGCACTGGAACTGACATGTCTTGAAGCTTGTCTTTCCATCATAACGAGGCGGGCGAGGGTTCCAGACTAGACTGAATGTTCACGTGGAGTTCCATGTCCCGAACGCTAAACCCGAGTTCGCTTGTTGATATATAAGGTGCTACCGTGCCTTCGACATGGAAACGAAAACGAGTCTAGATTACCAGGAGCCTTGCTCTTACGGCTCCATTGATACCGCCCGGTTGGAATGCAAGTGCCGGTGAGACGGGCTCATGTTCTGGGGTGAAACGAGGGGGCAGTTGAGTTGGGGAGTTGGGGGTTGCTCTTGGCTCCCACTGACCAGGGGCAGACCTTTACTAGGTACGCATTCAAGAGCTGTTACCCATTCCCCGACTTCAACCAACATCTCATGCTCCGGTCTGTGGGCTATCACGTTGGGCCCAACGGCTTAGACTTGGAGGTTGCATGGATGAAGTTAACTCGAACCGAACTAACTAGGATAGACGCAACAGAGACACGGCACAGCTAATATATTTCGCCGTCAACAGCGTGAGATCACTCTGGATAAATGCGCGGCTGTCATTTTGCCGAAGCCTTCTGTCAAGTAGCCATCAGTACCAGCCCGTGTGGTCTTCCACATGACGGCTCTCTCTTGCTTCCCCTGCCATACCGAGCACATACAGCACCCTACCTGTCTAGGTACCTCCCGTCTATAATATTTAACTCGATTGTCAGCGACGAGTTCTTGTTGGTGGCAGTTGGTGTCTATATACGAAGACCGGCGACGTCAAGGCATTCCAACGGCGATCACGAGCGTATGCGTCCATCTTATAACTTCAGTATCTGAGCATCAAGAATCGCCAACGGGCTGTCCGGTCCTCGCTTGCTGAGTCTTTTCATTGGCCGCAGAACGGGTTTCATGGCTGCAGTCGGAGCCATCTATGCATTCTTGTAGGACGCTCGCAATGTCACCGTGGGTTCAGCTCTCGGCATCTTGCTTCGCTCTAGAGCTCGGCCGCCCAACTCACTCAACTAGTGAATGTTCGGATCCACGACGACACATTTAGGGACCACAACCATACAGCGGAAACGAACAAACAGGTTTATATGCACTCTGTTCGGATATCTCTGAAACCCCCAGGACAACAGGATACCGACGATATGGAATCACTGACGCCAGCCCGCCAAAAGTTGCCGAGAGAACGGGTCAGCACATGCGCCATCGTCTCTATCAAGCCAGCACATATTACTGTGTAGATGTTGATATGCACTGCCGTGTGCATTATGGGCGTCTCGGCTTGTCGGCAGCTTGTCCAAACGTTGGAAGTGAGGGTAACTAATTGCCGAAGAAGATGGCGTTGCTGTTGGATATGGCCTCCCCTCCTCTCCGCGCCCATCCGCACCGACCACGCACTCGCGGCGTAAGATGTCCTCAGCCTACTGAGATTAAGTATTTTTCGCCGAGATACTGGATCGTCGATACACGATGCTTCTGCGTTGGCATGAACACGTCGAATTGCACTGTCGAGATGCTCAAACAGCCCGCCTTACCAATCATATCGGCAGCCACCACAGGGACATCTGTTTCATGGGTCTTCTCACCATGAAGGAAGACGCCTGCATAACAAACCCAAGACGACCAATATCAAAGACCAAAAAAACTATATCTCTTCCAAAGACTACAAGTATACTTCAGATAACTTCACCTGAGTTCAGGAAAGGGACAAAAAGATGGCGTCTTTGCTATGTCGTATGCTGCTGACAGGATCACACCCTTCTACTGTAACCATCTGGACCAGGAACGTCTCGGGAGAAGATTCCATGATTCTTGCGGCAAAGCTGCTGACCTGCCGGGTGCCTGTGCCGCGTAAATCCAGGCGAGTCGCCGTCTTGTATTTACGCCATGGTGCCATCCACCAAGAGATCGCATGCATATCATCGAGCTCTGGCCTTTCCTTATTCCAGCCACGTCCCCATCTCGTCGCATCTTGTCCGAGGAGTCTCGCCATTTTCCATGTAGCACAAAGGTCTTGGTTCGCCTCCTAGCAGAACCAGCGAAATGTTGTCGTTGTATCGTGCTGTAGGACTTCTTCCCACCTACAAGATGTCACCGAAGAGCAGGGTATCTGATGTCGGTGTGATGTTGCTACCCGTCATATCACAACGGCTTCATCAAATGCAATCCTTTTACTAACGCAAGTGAGCTCCAGATGGACTTCAGTGTGCACTTTGCCCAGCTAGGAATTCGAGTGAATCCTTCAGAAACAGGATGTCTAAGAGTTTCAATCTGACCAATGGACGACCGTTCCATACTTGTGTCTCTATCATTCAGGTAGCCAAGGACTAAGGGACCCTAGCTTTTCTCGACGAATCCTCACGTCGTCTCTTTCGTTGACCCCTCCTCCCGGTCTTCCTAACTACATACATACAACTGCAGTGATGCACGGCGTACGATGCCGCGTGGCTCTTCCAGCCCTTCTGGGCATCAGACACCGTGCTTTTTTACTGCACCTTGTTGCTCCCAATTTCCTCCTCTCGGAAACCCTCAGTTTCTCCCGGTGTTGTTGTTGCCGGCATTATTCCAACCAAACATTGCTAATAGTGTGCAAGAAGCCCCTGACTCTTTCGAGATTGTTCACCAACCACACGGAACCGGAGGAAGGAGCGAAAGGTCGCGAAGAGGCGGAGAGAGGCGGAGAGGCGCAATCGGGTTTGGAGAGTGAGTGAGACCAGGTCTCTGCCCAATGGCCTGCTGCCCGCACCCGTCTCGTCGACGCAGTGTAATAACCACTTCACTTTTCCGCTCGGATTACACAAGACGCTAGATATTATCCGCTCTTTGCAACTGGGATTCCCGTCTCGGACCATTCAACCACTAGTTCCTCTTGTCCTTTTTCTTGCGTCTTGTGTCATTGAGAGTTACTACCGACGGCTCCCCCGTTGTAACTCTCATCCGCCCCTTTCTGACGCCATGGACGCTGCACCTTGATGACACAGGAATTTTGATGGTTCTCTTGACTCGGATGCTGAGGAACAGCGGATAATAATTTATTGAGTTGTGTTGAGCAACGACAGTATGGTTGTGGGCAGGCACAAACTACTTTTGCTCGCAGTACTTTCAGGTCTTGGTGTAGACGCTGTTCGAGGAGGTAAGTCTTCGTGTGTTCTGAGACCACAAAGCTCATAAATATCTCTAACATATTCCTCAGTCTATCATCTACCTCGAAATGTCACCGTCAGCAGCATTCCAGAGGCTTATAGCCAGAGCACCACAGTCGGTTCAGATGAAACACACATCTCATTATCCTCCGTTGGGAGTACAGTTGAGGTGACGAGTGCCTATCAAACCTTTACTGCGCTTGAGACACAGACGGTAGGGGTTGAGACTGTCAACTCTTTGCAACCCAACACGCAAGATGCTTCGGAATCACCGATCTCAGCACCACCAATATCGACAGTGCCGACAGAGTTCGATCCATCTTCAGCGGCACCACCGGAGGCTGTATCGTCAACCTTTACCATAGCAGTGTCTCCATCGTTCACAGATCCCAGTGATGATATAAAGACTTCTGCCTCTACGTTCGATTGCTCCTCCCGCATCGACGAAGAAGGATCCACTATCACAACCGGCCCATTACCCTCTGCGTCGGACTTCACCTCGTCCTCCTCCTTAGCTTGGAACTATGCACCGGTTGGGCAAAAGAGCGAGTCGCCTGGTCAAAACGATGCGACGCCCACAGCAGGGGCTGTACCGGGCGGGATTGTCGTGATTCCTCCTGATATTCCTCCATGGGTGGAACAGACGGCGTCCTCTGGCGAGGATGTGTCTTTGGGTCAGCCGCCGTTGGAAACATTACCGGGCGGGATTGTTAACCTTCCTCCTGATATTCCTCCATGGGTGGAAATGACGGCGTCATCTGGGGATGATGTTTCTTTGGGTCAGCCACCGGTGGAAATACCGACCTCTTGGGGCTACGTCCCTGCCACCACTACCTCGGAATTCACTTCCACGCAAACCTTCGATGCTACTTCCACTCGAGGGCAGTTCATCAGCAGCGGCTGGAATCAAACGACAGCGCCTTACTACAATCAGTCTTCAACATGGAGCACGTCAGGGGCAGTCACCAGGTCCTCCAGTTTTCCAAACACCACGACAACGTTATCGTTGAGTACTATTAGCCAGTGTCAGCCATCCGATCTGTCGGCAACTGTCACAAGCTGGGAAGTTGTGCACATAAGTACGATCACATGGATCGGCAATCCAGCGAACTACACGCAGCCTTACCCGACGCTTATTCCGCCTCCCGTCGAGACCATCCCGCCGTGCATAGATCTGGTAACGAGAACAACACCACCTCCAGGGATTACATTAACCACCTGCTTTACCGTCACTGCGAGTGGCTCGGAGACAAAATCATGCACATTAACGGTCAGCACCAACAGCTGGGGATATGGCCCTCAAACCTCAACAACTATAAGGTTTGCACCCACAGTTACCTACATCACGACAGACAAAAACCCAGCGGTTGTGTACTCGTCAATGGAGACCCCTAACTACGGCGTAACCAACGAGAACACAGGGGCACCGAGGCCTACGGCTGTGAGCGTCGATCCGGTTGAACCACCAGTGTACAACACGTTCCACAGTAACAACAACCCGGGCGGAGTAACCAAACCGCCACCCAAGCCGGTTACCGTCATTGTGAAGCCTACGGAGGTAATCATTGACAGTTCCACAATCACCGACAACCCGACGACAAAGACACAAACCGTCGTGGTGGGCGGTGAAACCTTTACGGTCGGGCCAACCCAGGTAGTAGGAGGTGGTGCCACCGTAGCCCGGCCGTCTACAACCAAAGGAGGAGGAGGAGGAGGAGGAGCAGGGGCGGGGGGGAATATTTACGCCCCCGTACCCACAAGCACCAAGCTCAACGACCTGCCCATCATCGTGAGCTCCTCCGTAGCCGTAATCGGAACCGGCAGCTCCTCCTTCACCCTCCCACCAACGCCCACCACAGTTGTCGTCGAAGACCACACCGTCAGCCTCGGCCCCAGCGGGATCGCCATCATCGACCCCAAAGGCAACCCCATCATCGCAACCGTCACCCTCCCACCACCCCGCGACCAAACCATCACCATCGGCCCCGGCCCCAACAACAACAACGGCCAACCCAAAACCACCACCATCGACGGGGTCCCCATCACCATCATCTCATCCTCCGTAGCCATCATCGGCACCGGCAGCTCCAAATCCACACTCACCTTCCCCGCCTCGGGCTCCTCACCCACCACCATCACTATCGACAACGACAACGGCGGCAGCCAACACACCCTCACCCTCACCCTCGGACCCTCGGGCATCACCCTCACCGCGCCTCTACCCCCCAACGCCATCGCCACAGCATCCTCGGTCATCACAATCCAAACCCTCTCCATGCCCCTCCCTTCAGGGGCACATGTAGTGACATCTCAACCACAACCACAACCACAACCACAACCACAACCACAACCCTCAACAACAGCAACAGAAGTCGTGGTAGCAGGCGGCTCCCTGATAACCGCCATCGGCCGCTCCGTGGTGGTTATTTACGGGACCACCATTACTTACACCACTCTCTCTTCCCCGTTTACGTTTACCACCGTCATCGATGGTGGTGATGAAGACACTATCGTTCTTGACCCATCTGCTGGAGTTTTAATCACCCACCACCATAACCACCTCCCCGTCCCCGTCCCCGTCCCTGGCGCATCACCATCAGCAGGAGCTGCAGCGGGAGCTGCAGCGGGACCGGGAGCGGGAGCGGGACCGACGGGGGTAACGGTGACGGTAACAACCCTAGGCGGCCCGCACGCCGACCCCTCGGCTACTGAATTCGCAGTCGTTGGAGGAGCGACGATTACCATTATTAAAGTGGGAGCGTCGGTGGTGGTGGTGGAGGGGGTTAGTTATACCGTTGGTCCTTCTTCTTTTACCGGCACTGGAGGCACCGGAGGCACCGGAGGCAAAACGATAACGACGGTCCTTGCAAGTGGAAGTGGACAGACTGTCACTATAGGACCGGAGGGGGTGGTGGTGGGGACTATGACTATTTCGTACCCCTTCAATGGCGGCGGGGATGGGGGAGACGAAGGGAGTAGTAGTACGACGGTTATTTTCCCGGGTGCTGCTGGTGGAGGGGCGGAGGAGACTGCGACTGCGACTGCTACGGCTGGTGGTGGTGCCTCTGGGTCATCCGGATCGGGGTCGGCAAAGGATGGGGATGGAGATGATGAGCAGGATGCTGGTGTTTCGTTTGGGGTTGGGTGGAGGGTTATGATGTTGGGGTTGGGTGTGGCGGGGGCGGTTGGGGTGTTTGGGTTGTAGTTGTGAGTAGAGGTAAGTTATCCGTTTAATGCTTTTTTTTTTCCCATGTCCATTCTGTTTTCTTTTTATATACAGAGTGATTCAAAGGGAGCGAGCGGAGCTGTTGTAAGTATCGGGATGGATCACGAATACCTAGGTAACGATGGCGCATTCTGGCGCAAATGGCGAGATGCCTCTTCTTCCAGGAAGGGCTCTCCATGTTGTTCTTTCTCGGTTCGGTGTTGGCGATTTGGGTGTCGTACAGGAGGAGTGAACGGATATGATAAAGATGTGACGACGACTTTATCGATGAAGAGAATGACTTTGTATTTACTTTTTTATCATCAACATAATTTGTATTGACTTCCTCATAATACATGATTGTCCAACTTACACTCCTGCAAACGACGGGACGAAATTCAGTAATTACTGCACAGGATTGACCGTAAACCAGTTTGTATGTAATCTCTATTCGCAATGCAGAAAGCAAATAACCAAGTAACTGACAATATATGTGCAAGAAAATGCGTTGCGTGGTCTGGTTACATCCTCCTATATCTCTAAACAAGGCAGATACATATCTAATCGTCGCATTTCATACTCATCATCATCCGGGGGGTTCGTAATGAACCAACTATGTAACTGACTGACTCATTGACACCAAAAAACAACAACAAACGGGCTGCTTTCCTTTCAACACTAATTCTACTAAGTAGATCTAAATGCTCCCTCCCTTCTCCTGCTTCCTAGCCCGTGTGTTCCATCGTACCACCCACCCACCACATAATCATTCGTTCCATTCGTGACATGAGAGTTTCTTTACCTTTGTGCGTTTTCTTTTTTGATATGACTGTTGTGTATCCACTTCTTGTTGTTTCGTTCTTGTGCAAGCAACTCTTTCTTCTATGCAAACAGACCCCCTAAAACCCGCACATCTATGGTCTTCTTCTCCTCGTTCCTTACGACTTCTGGAAGAACCAACTCGATCTCTTATTCTCGGGCGGGTTCTGCTGCAGAGTGGCAATGGTGGGGTTCGTAGCCGTGGCACCACCGGCAACGGCGTCGCCGCCACCGCGGAGCGGCTTAGCGATCCTGCTGCCGATGCTGAACCCGCCGAGGCCGGCGTCGGTGCCGAGGCCGCGCGTGCTGCCGGCCTTGGCGGCCTCCAGCCGGTCCTTGACGGCAGCGAGCTGCACCTCAAACCTAGTGCAATAGGAAGACGGAAGGTTAGCGCTGATACTGATGATAATGAGGGCATGAAGCAACAACAGAGGGGTAAACACGTACTTGTGATTCGCCTGGGCCATCTTCTCCTGGCTCTCCTGAAGCAGGCTCTCGAGGCTCTGAATCCGCTCATTTCTCGCCATCAATTTGCGCTCGGCAATCGCCACCTCCTTCTTGAGAGCCGAGTTCTGCTCCACAAGCTGGCGTTGAACTTGCGTCAGCTGCTCGAGGTTGCGCTCGAGGAAAGCCATCTTCTTCTGCTGAGCGCGGTTGTTGCTGCTCCGGAGCACGTTGTTATACTGCTCGCGCGTCTCGTCGAGGGAGATCTCCAGCTCGACCACGCGCTCGCAGCGGTTCTGCAAATCGCGCATCAAGCTCTTCTTCATGACGTCGAACTCGGCCAGCTGCTGCTGGACAGTCTTGCCATTGGCCATGGCAACTCCGGCACCGCCGGCCTTGACGCGGCGCTGAAGGTCATCGACCAAAGCCTTGAGGTGCTCAGTCTCGGAGTTCTTCAGGGCGATATCAGCCTTGAGTTGCTCGACAAGCTCAATCTGGACAGCCGACTTGTCCGAGAGTGACTTGGCCAGAAGGGCCTTCACCTCTTCCTTATCAACCTCAGTGAGGTTCCGAGACAACAGGTCCTCGTGCTCTTGCTGAAGGGCATCGAGACGGGCCTCAATCTCAGCCCGCTTGCGAGCCTCCGCATCGCTCGAGGCGGCGCTGAAGCTCGACAACTCAGCTTGGCGCACAAAGCCCTGGGTCTCCACAAGCTTCTCCCTGAGTGCCTTGAGATCCTCGGGAGGAATCGCGTCACCAGCAGAGCTGATCTCGAAGAGCGCGTCTAATTGCGCAATAGCATCGGCGACTGCCCGCTCATTGTCGCTGAAAACGTCGCCGGAAAGGTCAAAGCCAGCCATCATCTTGGCCATCTTCTCCGCCTTCTTCTTCTCCTTCTCGTCCAACACAGCGCTGGTCTCCTTGGCGCTCATCTTCATATCGAGCATCTGCTGCTTGACCTCGTCAAGCTCGGCCGTGAGTTCGGAGTTGGCATCCTTGAGGCCGTCGATGGTGATTTGGGCCTCCTTGTTCTCGAAGGCCAGCCTCTCCAGTTGCATCTTGAACTCATTGGACTCGCTGATCAACCTCTCGTTCTCCTTTCCAAGCTTGCTGTCGTGATCCTTGAGAGCGACAAGCTCTTCCTTTGTTTCCCGGAGTTGCCTCTCGGCAGCCGCCGCAATACTTTCCTTCTCCGCAATCTGGTCCTGCAGCTCGTTCTCGCGCCGCAGAAACTCTTCCCGCTCATCCTTATCCAAGGGCAAGCTGGGGGTGCCGGCCCTGTCTGAGATAGCAGGGGTCTCAGCCCGGTTTTCAGGCAGTAACCGTGACGGTGTCGAAGGACGGGCTGTTGTCGAGGCTGATTTCGAAGGGACAATGGCGAGCTCCAGAGGTGGCACCCATTTCTCCTTGGGTACAGTGTCGCCACCACGCCACACTTGCACTTCGCTTTCCAGGTTGACGATATAGTTCTCGAAGGACGTGATCTGGGTCTTGGCCTTGGCAAGCATCTGCTTGAGCTCGGCCGGGCTGAGTTCGGCGTTGACTTTCGCTTTGTTCTTGATCGACTTTGCTCTCATACCGAAACGTAGCGTACCTAGTGTTTCGACATCGTTGTAACTACTCGGCGAACAGTTGATAATGAGTGTTGTTCGACTGTTACCACCCAACGATTCTTGCAGAATACGGGTGAGCTTCGAGTCTCGGTAAGGAACGTGCGAGGATTTGCCATCTGTCAGGGCATTGATGACCATACCAAGAGCACTCAAACTCTTGTTGATCTTCTTTGCTTCCTCCAGCGTCTGGCCACTGGCGCCTGTCTTGCCGATCTTTTCGGAACCAGCCAGATCAACCAAGAAAAGCTGACCGCTCTTGGCCGAGCCCGTCTCCACGTTCTTCTGGGTAATGGTGATGACGAAGATGGAATGCGAGCGCGAAGACTCCTGGTTCATGTTGGTCGCAGCCACAGCTCTTGCGTTGCCACCCCTGCGCATGACTTCGTATACTTCCTGGACGCTCGAGACGTAGATCTCAAGCAGACCCTTGACGTAGACGCCGCGGTTCTTTTCTTCGTGGACTGGCAAGTTGTCGTTCTGAGGCGCCAAAAGATCACGGATTCGCTCCATGTAGATTTCCATATAGCTGACCCGGACGGTATACTCGATGTTTGCTGCGCTAGACAAGATGCTGGTAAAGATCTGCTCGACGATTCTCGGAATAACACCTCTGCCATCGGGGTCGTCTATACTGGTACCCATCATGGTATAAGATTTACCGGCACCCGTCTGGCCGTAGGCGAAGACAGTACCGTTGTAGCCATTGAGAATATCGTCGACGGTAGGCTTGATGGAGAAATCGAAGATGTCGGATTGCTTGCATGACATGTCAAACACCCGATCAAAGGTGAAGGAACCCTGCGCTTCTTTCGACTGTGGGCAAGGAAGATGGGTTAGCTACTGCGGTCCGACTCCATTCAAAGCGCGTGAAGGTATGGCAAGACAGGCACAAGGGCATTGTTAGGTGCGAGAACTAGGGGGCAGAAGAAGGTGCTCACATCGATTGTACAGGTATCCGGGCCCTGGAAGGAAACGATGGGCTGGCCGCCGGACTCGATTTCGACCCTGTTCTGGGGCCTAAATCGAGCCACGACCTTGATACTATTCGCACCTGACGACATGATGGCGATTCCCTTGCAGCGCTGGGCAGCGCACTGTCATGAAAGGCGGCGCGGCCGTTGTTGTCGGGAGGATTGGTGGTGGAGTGAGGGGGGGAGGGGGAGGTGAGGGGAGATGGACAAGGAGCCCGGCCGCCTGCAGCAGAGAGAAGAGGCAGGGTCTCAGTCAGTCGGGGTCCAGCTGTCTCTCCGAGTTGGATCCGAATATCACAAAAAGGTCGCGAGGTCCGGTTGGGCGCGTGTTCTCGTCGTCGTTTCCCTCCTCCGCGGTCCGTCGTGAGCGGTGGTTGTGGTGTGGTGCAGTTGCGGTGCGGTTCGCGGCTGCGGGTGCGGTGTGCGTAGTAATGGAAGAAAGGCAAAAGGTGAAGTGAAGGTGGGCAATGTGACACACTACTCGCCCGCCGAGGCAGGTTAACGTTTCGTTAGGTAACTGAACCCCTTTGGGCCGCAGCGATGGAAAGACAACAACCTACCTAAAGCTATGCAAAGCAATGCAAACCTTGGGGGATACCTTAGGTGAAAAGGCAAACGTGTGCAGAATGTGCAAAAAGGGGCTGAAAGGGGTATCCGCAGTTACTCTACTGTTGCCGCCGCCGTATATCGTCGTCGAGATGGAAGGGCAGGAAGGGGTATCTATCACACGTGTGGTCGGTACCCAAGGCAATCCAAGGGTCTAGAAGAAACAAATGTCGAAACGCGATGAAGATGGTGGGGTCTTGTCGGTCAGTGCAGAGTCGCACCTGAGACGCTGGACGGGCTTGGACGGTGCGCAGCCAGGGGACTCTGGGCCCTAAAAGCGAACCGCTGCCAGTCGTTGCCAGTGGACGACTCGACTCGGCTGGGGCCTCTTGGGGCAAGAACGCCCAGGCGCTCTGCGGACCCAGCGGGTTCAAGGTTGTGCCTGCTGCCCCTGTCCCTTGAACCGGGACGGCACTCGGGGCGGCTGGGGCTGCGAGGCGGGCGGCGACCGGTACCTCCTTCCCCGAGGTGTAGGACTATGTACCTGCCTCAAGATCGGATGTCTGGCCAACACTCTCAAGTGTCGCGTAGATGATATTTACTTCGATTGTAGAGATATTTCAAGGTTTACAACTGGTTAGGGATCCTCAACGTAGTGGTCATGAGAAACCCCGATCTGGAACCCATCCCCCAATTTGCTGGCAGGTTCCTGGCATGGAGACCTAAAAGTGGTACAAGCATACAAGCAGAAGTACTCTCGGAGATGCCTACCTCTACAACCACATCCCAATGCCTTGCTTGAAGCCTCCTTCCCTGTTCAAGTTGCCCGTTGCCATTTCTTTTTCCTTTTGGTTAACTTGAAACCTTCAAGAAATGTCAAGTTGAGCTTTCCAGAGGCTACAGCTGTAGCCAAAGTTCAGCTACCCACAGAATATGACAACCTCACCCCTCATGTAGATCATTTGCAAAGCGTCAATTCAATATGAAATAGTATACAAGATATGAGAAGAGTTCCAAAAGGGTTCTGTAGAGGTAGGTAGGTACGACCAGGACGCAGTCAGCTTGTCTTTCATTCACGCAGGGACCTTGCATTCAAGATGAGCATATATCAAGGGACGCCGCTGTTCGCAATGTGCACGTTAGACATGACCCTAAAGCCTTATAGGCCATATAAGCCATGTGAATGTAAGGCGTCAAGCAGGGTCATGTACACATTTGTCACAAAAGGTGGGAAATTCAGGACTCTTCGGAAACTTGTACATCTAAGCCGGCCGACATAACGCTGTATGCTTTTTGTAGTGAAACCTGAAGACACTAGACCACTTCCTTATTCACATCTAGGACAAAAGGAAAAAAACGCTATCTAGGGCTTCTTGGGGTGAGTTGAAGTATCCAGGGACTGCCTCGCCAGATATGCTTGTCATAGTATGATACGAGCGCCTAAACTCCAAACCCGGCAACCGCCCTAATGTGTCGGCAAACCCAAGCAATCCCACTCTCTCCATTGCAGACAAGCAGGCTGACTCTCAGCCATCAATAAGCAAGAAATGCGGATATTTGAAATACCAAGAACGCCCCAAAAGAACGACGCCTCCCAAATGCAATGTGATATCACGACATCTGTCCCATCCTCACGCCCAAAGGGCAAAACCGCCGGGTATCCTCGAATATGGATCATCTCGTAACTCGTCGTCGGTCGACAACGGACTGTCGATATAGCCAAAAGATCTGTCTCGAACAGTCCCGTGAGCCATATCAACACCGACTTGCAGCACCCGGGCCTATTATTGGCTTTTCGCCATGGAGGAGCCCTGTGGTACTGAATGCTGCAGCCATTTAATCCTCCCAGCTCTTCTCAACAGTTTCCCGGACTCTCTTGTGGTATTCTTTGCGGTTGTCCTTGTACAGGTTGGAGGCTTCGACGTTCGCAGGTGATCCTGTGTTCGGGTCATTAAGCAGACTGAAGTAGATAGTTCCGTCAGCATGTTGAAACCACCCAAATTATCGAGAAAGGAGTCGTACCTCTGAATGCTTGTAAGTACAGCCGCCACGTCGTACGTTGGACTCCAGCGGTTCTGTAGAATATCGAGACAGAGTTCGCCGGTGGCGTAAACATTAGGGTGGAACATCTCGCTGATGAACTTGACCGAGGGAGGCTTATTGGGATACTGCTCCTCAAAGTGCATCACGAGGCGGAAGGTGCCATCCTCGAAGGGCGTGTCGGCGGGTCCGATAATCACGGCGTTCCTGTATGGAGACTCATGTCAGTCATCGCTGTGCCGGGGGTAGACCGCCCATAGCGGGCACCACAGCAACCATTCTCCTTACCATGTCATAACATTATCGGGTACGGGAGAGGCGGAAACACCAGCAGGAGGATCGGTTTGCATGCGCTGTCGAGAAAAGAGGTGAGTATGTTGTGCTCATGGCGGCCAAGTCATCGAGCGGTGTGAACCCAACGGGATGGCTCATGATGTCTCGCACCTTGAAGTCTCGCATAAGCCGGCGGCGGGCAGCGGTTGACATTTTGGCTTTGGTGATGGATGATTAAGTCGGCCCGAACGTATGGAGGGAAAGCTACAAGGTTGATGGAATAGGATGCGATGCTTTGTCCGAGTCGAGATGGGTTTTGTGGTTGGAGTAGCGACGAGACAATCAACTGTTTTGGAAGATGCGGAGATGAATGACGGAAACCAGCAGAGCCAGCAAGTGAACGCGCATAACGACCGCTATCTTATCGTACCCAACTGATTGGAGGGGGGCGTCACAAAGAAGCTGGGAGAACGCGCGCCGAGGGCAATGAACATCCAGTGACCGGCTGGCAATTGCCGCTGGCTTGTCGAAGACCACTTCTCAGCCAATCAATTTTGAGGACAAAGCGGTTATGGCCTGTGCACAAGGTGGCCGCCAGCTGTTGGATTGGGGGTCAACCTATCGCGCCACCGCTGAATGGTTGTCTAGCCAAACATCCGAATCGGACTGACAAATGAATCCCAAGCAAAACATCAAGAATTGTGCATTGTCAGCCAATTGTTCGGGTTGAAGCAGCGATTCAAGCTTTCTCTTGTGGCACCCCCGGCAGCTGCCCGAAAACACTTCAACGCCACAACAGGATCTTTGCTTGGAACTAACGCAACATCTCAAGTCGCGTTGGGAGCTCGGCCTTTGACCTCCCGCGCGTAAAGTGGTTCCTTTGTTTCTGCCCAACACTCACAGACGCGCGCGGGACGGCAATTGCAGGGACAAGCGCGACTGGGATATATCATAGTGACGCGAAACGACTCTTGAGCGTGCAGTGGGCTTTGATCCCTGACTTTATACGAGCCGTATCCGGTACAGCTATGATGCCGGCACTGGCAGCAGGAGACTGCGGAAAGAGTGAATGAACGGGAGAGCGTCCACCTCCGGATCCGTTTCTCCGCCGCGGCCTCAACTCTCCTCCATGTTTCTCCATCCGCCCGGCCACGGCATGGGCACGGCATGGTCCAAGCAGGGCATTGTGAATGGATGAGCTTCCCCTGGCTGTCAGCGGCAGACTCCACGGAAAACCCCGGATACCAAGTGGAAGCTTTTTGTGTCCCATGTGCCCCTTGGGGTCCCCGCGAAAACCACGGTGGCGGCCACTTTTGGCGCTCAATTGGCGGGGTGGAGGATCGCTTTTGTGTGAATCCTCTCCACATGTACCGTCACAAGCCGACCAGTGCCGTCATGGCATCTGACAAGCTCCGAGGAAAAGAGAGAGAGCTCCCCAGCTTTGTAGTTTATTAATCATTTTCCCCATCAATACTACAAGTCTCTCTTGCGATCCTGTCCCTATTCATATTTCTTTCCTGCTCTTGTTCTGTGTTGCCTCTCCTGTTGTGCTGTTGTTCATTCCCGTTCGGCCATCTCCATCTCCTCTTCGTCACCGACATCTGCGCTGTGCAGTACCGTCCCTGCGTCCTGTAACTCATCGTCACCAGCTGCAGCTTCTTTTTTCGACAGCAAAAATGGTCCTTTGCCACGCCAGGACAGCCGTTGGCTCGGCTTCGCGCACTTCCCGCGTCGCTTCCTCTCGTCTTTTTTCCACTCAGTCTGCCCTCCGTCAGCAGATTCAGGATGCCTACATTCTCAGTGGTGTGAGGACACCAACGGCCAAGGTGAGCCGCTCCGCAAAAATAACCACTTCCACAAGATGGTGCTTGTGCTAACATTTGCCAGTTCAATGGCTCTTACACCACCGTTCCTGCTCCCAAGCTCGGTGCCGTTGCCATCAAAGAGGCCGTCAAGAGGTCGGGCATCCCCGTTGAGAAGATCACCGATGTCTACATGGGCAACGTCCTCCAGGGCGCTGTCGGCCAGGCCCCCGCGCGCCAGGCCGTCATCTTTGCTGGCCTTTCCCCCAACGTAGAGGCCATTACCATCAACAAGGTGTGCTCTTCCGGTCTCAAGGCTGTTGTGTTCGCTGCGCAAAACATCCAGCTCGGTCTAGCGGAGGCCCAGGTCGCCGGTGGTATGGAGAACATGACAAGGGTGCCGTACTACGTTCCCCGCGCTAGCGGCATGCCCCCGTTCGGTCACATCAAGATGGAGGATGGCCTTATCAAGGATGGTTTGACCGACGTCTACAACGAGTTCCACATGGGCAACTGCGCGGAGAACACTGCCAAGAAGTTCCAGATCTCTCGTGAACAGCAGGACGAGTATGCCATCCAGTCGTACAAGCGCGCCCAGGCTGCTTGGGCTTCCGGAAAGTTCGCTGAGGAGATTGTCCCCGTCACCGTTCCCGGCAAGAAGGGCGACAAGATCATCGAGGTGGATGAGGGCTACAACGACATCAAGCTGGACAAGGTCCCCACTCTTAAGCCTGCCTTCGTCCGTGATGGCACCGGTACCGTGACGGCCGCCAACGCCTCCACCCTCAACGATGGCGCCAGTGCTCTGGTTCTCGGCAACAAGTCGCTCGCGCAAGAGTTCGGCAAGGGCTCGAGGGTTCTTGCCCGTATCGTCAGCCATGCTGATGCCGCTATGGACCCCATCGACTTCCCCATTGCGCCCTCCAAGGCTGTTGAGCTTGCCCTCAAGCGTGCCGGCATCAGCAAGGACCAGGTTGCCATTTGGGAGTTCAACGAGGCCTTCGCCGCGGTCATCAAGGCCAACGAGAAGATTCTGGGTCTTGAGGGCGCTGTAGTCAACCCTCTTGGTGGCGCCATTGCTCTCGGACACGCCTTGGGTAGCTCCGGATCCCGCATTCTTGTTACCTTGCTTCACCAGCTCCAGCCTGGCCAGTACGGTGTGGCAGCCATTTGCAACGGTGGAGGTGCGGCCACCGCCATGGTTGTCCAGAGGATCGAGTCGGTATAAACGGGGATATCGAGGCGTTAAGGATGGGTGTTTGTTTGAATTCGCTTGTATCGGGATGAAGATTTGCAAAGCTTCGGAGTTGGTTGGGCTTCCTTTTATTTACAAATGGTATAGTGCGCTGCCAAAAGCAGGGCCGGTCTGCACATAGTTACAGCTGCATCTTGTTGGGTAAAAGGGACACAATCGAATTGAATAAGTAAAGAACTAACAAGTTGACACTAATAATCTTGGTGGTGATGTAAATTTACAACCGAAAATAAAGTGAACAAAATCCAACTCTCGTGCAACAAAAGTCCCAGGGTTCGTAGGTAAAGCCCGAAGGGTTAGGGTTATCGCCGTTCAGTCAGACACGTAACGCATCAATGCAGCACAGTGCAAACACACTCATCTCAACTTCACCTTTGAGATCGCAACTTCAACTGGAACGGTCTGCATCTTTGTGTAGCAAACCAAACATCCAGCAACAACTACAACAAGTTATTTATCGTATCATTTCGGATTTTCATTTAAGCGCCAGCTCCTTAATAGCTTCAGCATCAAGATATCAGATTACGACGATATTTCACGACGTACTCCGCTTCTCACCCTTCAACAAGCTCGGATTGATTTTCGCTTTTCCTTGTGCCCTGGCACGGCCGGGCTAGGACCTAGGAGGAGGAAGCTGGGTTGACACAATTCGACCGTTCACGAACGCATCAACTACAAATCAACCACAGCCATGAGCCTTATTGCGGAATTTCTGGCCAGCATTCGCGGGTTCGTACAAACTCAAAATGGTGACGAGCTCCGCAACTGGTTGCTCGTCGAACCGAATGTTGCCGCACATTATTATGAGCTTGGACAACAACTGAGGTCGTCCTGTCCCGCAAATTCAGGCAATATCGAGAAGCTGGTTGAGAAACATTTACCAGAGGAGGATGATGTTCCAGAAGGAAGAGGCTCGCCATGGCCCGGCTTCAACTCGTTCATGGAGGAGTACTTGAAGTACTGGCGCGATGTAGACTTCAACGACATCGTTAAACTCTATGGTCGGCTCAGCGACCTGCTCATATCATGTGCAAATGCACTTGCTAATCCAACGTATGGCATCATGCTTCTACAAACCAGCATGTCGCTTTCAGAGGCGCTCTCCAAGTTGGTAATGAGCATTACCAAGGAGCCTCATCTCATGGCCCAGATTCAGGGCGACATGACTGGTGATGAAGCTGGCGAGAAGAAGTCGATTGTCGAGCTTGCCGCAGATATCATTCAGAAGATTTTCACATCGTGTCTCACAGATCGATCAAGTACTCGCTGGTCACCTCCCAAGGGGAAGAAGATTGCCGTGTATCTATTTGCGAACTTGACACTGAAACTGCTGTTTGCTGTAAGTCTTATGCTCCTCCTTTACGTGAGATGATCCTAGAAGATATACTCATGACCATACTATACTGTAGTGCGACAAATCGCGACTGGCCGTCCAGATGTTCACCAACCTCTCTACAAGCGGACCGGCACTCTCACTATACCCTGCATCACAACGCGTTACCTTCCTCTACTACCTTGGCCGCTTCAACTTCGATCATGGCCATTACATGCGTGCCCACTGGTGCTTCGAAGAAGCATACCGACAATGCCACCCACAATTCCTCAAGCATCGTCGACAGATTCTGATCTACTGGATCCCCTCGAACCTTCTCTTGGGACGTTTCCCGTCACAGATGCTTCTCTCACGGCCCGAGGCCGCCGGCTTCGCCGACATCTTCATCCCAATTTGCGCCGCTATCCGGACCGGCAACTTTGTCGCCTTCCACCAGGCCCTCAACGCCAGCAGAGACTGGCTCTGGGACCGCGGCCTCTACCTAACGCTCCTCTACCGCCTCAAACCCCTCGTCTGGCGCTCCTTCACGCGCAAGACGTTCCTGCTCACATGGGAAGGCGCCACCGGAAACGATCCTAACATGATGACCAACCGCGCCCCCGCCCTCTCCCTCTCCGACCTCGTGGTAACCGCCACGTACGTCCAAAAGCTCCTAGAGGGCTACACCCCCGTTGCTGCTGGCACCACTCTCACCCTCACCCCTCCCCCAGGCGGACAGCCGAAGCGGTTGATGCCCTCGGAAGGATTGATCTTCGGAAACAAGCAACCGGATCTTGACAGTATGGAGTCGATCGTCGCGGGCTTGGTCTACGCGGGCCTGCTTAATGGGTTTATCGCTCGCCAACAGAAGAAGTTCGCGGTCGAGGGCGCCAAGCGCAAGGGAGGGAACGCGGTGGCGGCCGGTTGGCCGTGCCCGTATGAGAGTATCATGGACCGGTTCAGGGAGGATTACGAGGATGAGCTGGCGGCGGCGGATGCGGGCGAGACGAACGAGCCGCCGGGTGAGTTTGAGGATGTGCCTGGTTGGGTTAAGATGGGTTGAGAATAGTTGATGGGTGGTGATACTTGCTCTGGTTTTCGTTGCTTTTAACTCTGTAATGTTGCTATGGGAGAAGCGGGCATATTGATAGACTGCATCATCGTAAAACTGAATCATCGGATTTATCCTAGAGCTTTCATAGGGCATACGTTTGTAATATGATGGTTTCAAAACTCAACACTCTCCATAAACGTGAACTGCCAAGCTGGCTTTGCCCCGGATATAACATCGTTGAAAGTGAGCTGATACGAAGGCCAATGTTATTTTTAGAGCGAGCTCGTATTTACTTGATGAAGGGGCTCACAGCCAACGTGGAGCGAGGCAGCTGAGAACCGGGCTTGCCGACTGGTACGACCCGTACATGTATGACAGTACCCGCCAAGGACAAGTCACCAAGTCGTACCTGCCTTGTGTTCATAAAATGTTTCAAGTCCTGTCGGTTGACTTCTTGTGATTTTTTTCTTCGTCTTGATTCTCTCCTTCCTTGGTTCTCATCATTTCCCCATGTCTATTTCCTCATCAACCACCAAATTCTAGCAAAATCCGACATCGTCGCCTTTCCATCCCGTCATCCCCTTCTCACGTCAATTTCTTTTTTCTCAAGCTCCGAACTTCGGCAAAGCGTCATTGTCACCATCAGCATATGGTTTTTAAAAAGCAAAATCTGGGATTAAACAGATTCGTCGTCACGAACATCGTTTGCTCTTTCATTCAGTGTCTCGTCTCAAATAATACCCAATGCCCAACCCAGTCCTCCAGAGCACACCGGGAAGTCGAGACCCTAGGTCTACCAGACTTTCTCAATGCCTCCTCCGTCCGGCCACGGAACCTCATCATTGTTTGTTTACCCTTTCACCTCCCTTTCACCAAAAAGTTACGTTTCGACATCCATCATCCCATCCAGCCTATACCTTAATTATAGAACCGAGCCGCGGCCTTACAACCTCCCACCACCTCCCACCTTCCAACCGCATACATTTCATTTTCCACCTTGCGGTTGACAACAATATCCAAGGGTCATTCACCAAAAAAAAATATGCAACAAGAAGAAGATATCCAAAAACTCGCCGCACCCAACGCAAAGACCAAAAACAACCAAGAGCTTCAATGGGGGTATATCGCCGAACAAAAATAAGATATCCTCGCAACAAACACCAATACCGAAATTAAGTCGTCGAATAATAAAAATGCCGCTTGCAGCAGCAAGAACGACTGAGTGAGAAGAAGGGCACAATATGGCAGCAGCCTTTGGCGCGCCAATTGGGCTGCGGAAATAACAATAGACACTAGGTACTGAGCGTATGTATGGGGGGTGTTAAAAAAGGTATGTAAAGTTTTTTGTCGACTTCCGGGTTTTGACGAGTGGGCTTTTTGCTAACTGGGCCGATGTGGTCGTTTCAGACGGGTATGTCATGTCGTCGCTGTTCGTCGCCGTTTCCCGAAAATCGAAGAAAAGAAGCAGAGTCAGGTAGATTTCGACCGGATGTATCTCGTATATCGTGGCCGCGAAATCTGATGAAGAAGATAATCCAACGTCGTATACAAGAAAGCAAAGAATCGGCCTCCCAGCGGGATACTGGGGCCCAACTCGTTCTAGATTTGTGCAGAGACAGCATTCTAGAGGAGAGTTGCAGCGGCGACGATGGCGACGACCAAGCCTGCAATGGCAGCGCCACCTTCTTGAGCAGCGCCATCGTTCTTCTTCGATGTGGTCGAGACAGGTGCGGGCTCTTCGGTTTCCGTTAATTTCGGTGTTTCCGTTGTCTCGGGGGCTTGGCTAGTAGGGGTTGAATCGGCACCGTTCTCCTTGAAGATACCACCACCCCAGAGCGAGGGCTTCGAGGCTGATGGTGTCTCGGAGGACTCAACAGAAGACTCTACTATGCTGATTACCAAGGATACTGGAGCCGAGGATACTGGAGCCGAAGACGTGCGGACCGAAGAAAAAGAAGAAGAAGAAGAAGAAGTGGTGGGAGGAGGAGTTGATGTGGTCGTGGGTGCCTTCGTGGTAGAGGAGGTCTTAGGCGGCGGGGGCGGCGGGGGCGTCGAGGTGGTCTTGGGAGGATCAGGCTTCTTGGTGGTCGATGTCTTGGGCTCATCGCTGGAACCATCGACGTTGAACACCACGATGTTGGCAGTCTGTCCCTTGGGAACGGTGACAACGCAGAACTGAGCACCGCCGACACCCGTGGTGGAGACTGGGCTTTCCAGGCCTCCAACACCATGCTTGGAAGGATCGATAGAGCACGGCAAACCATTGCAACCTCCAGAGGGGCACTCGATCTTGACACCAAAGCTGGGCTTCGTCTTCTTCCAGTCGCAGTCCATGTAAATGGGATTCCACGCAATCTTCACATACGTCTCACCAGCGGAAACGGTGTTTGCTCCAGCAACATAAGGACTCCAGTTTCCGATGGGCTTGCTTGGGCTACCCCAAATGCAGCCCTCTGCAGAAGAGACGCCAGGCGCGTTGATATAGTAACTGAGAAGGTCAGCTTGGTGAGTCACAAATATCATCATCTGTGGGTATGCTTACTGCGCAGCGGTCGAGGCCCAATAAGAGGGTCCAGGCACAGCGATCTTGGACTGGCCCTGGATGTCGGTGGGGATAATCATGGCCTCATTACCAGGCAAGACAGTTTGGCAAAAGGACACAACCTTTCCAGCCTTGTTAACTACCTGAACAGCACCGGTTCCATCTACACAGTATGGCTGGTCGTCGAAGGCCTTCTCAGGCTTTCCTTTATTGCAATACAGACCGCCATGCTTGACTATGTATTAGCGCTTCAAGTCTTACTAGGTCGAGGTATGTTTCAACTCACCATTGACTGGGGATACTGATAGGTCGAGTTTGGTTCCCATTGCGCCATAACCTTTCCAGGAACACACGCGTATGGGCACCATTTTCCATCCTCACATGGCTCATCGGGGCTCATGGCGAAACCATTGTTCATGCCCCCCGGAACAAACACAAGGTCTGGGTGATCGGGCAGAGAACATTGGGGTTTCCTCTTTTGCAGCTTTTGCAGCTGAGGCATCTCAACGCTCTCAATGGTCTCCTCGACACGACTTTGTCTCCTTGTGGAACGTTCATGGAGATGGCGATGACCCCCATGACCGGCAGAGACCGGTTGGGCACTGAAGAATAATGAGGCCGCGCCAAGGGCGGTCTGGAATGTGGAGAGTTTCATGTCGAATGGTCGTGGAGCTCAGCGCGTCGCGATATGAGCTCTGGTACAAAGTCGGTTGTCGTTCAACTGATATCCAGCACTAACACTTTCCCTATTCAGAACTCGAGCCGGTGTTCATAGGACATAAAATCGTAAAGATGGTCAGGTCGGAACGATCGTGAGGAGATTCGACGGACACTGGACAAGCCGAGGCGCGTCGAGCTTCGAAGGGGTCAAGGTCAGCGAGTGTGGAGGTTCCAACGAAGGTCCGTGAAGGAAAGAAAGATCGGGAGAGCGACAGGAAGAGAGAAGAGAAGGCTTGTCCCGGGCTTGGTGCACGAGAGGGAAAAAGCCAAGCTTCACCCCAGACGGGGAAATGGGATGGGATTGGGATGGGTCGACGAGGAGCCGAGCATGTTGTGGCCCATGTCGTGCCCCATGTCCAGGCGTTTTCCACTCAGTGTATCTCCCCGGGGCGGGCCAACAAAAAGGAAGCTGCGTGGAAGGGGAAGACAAGCTACCTGTAGGTCGCGATAGACTCAGGGGGTGTACCCAATCAGCGAGCCGACCGCTTCGGTGTCCCTGGGCGCCTCATCTCGGCACCGGGTGGGCTGGTGGGCTCGAGGTAGCATCGGTGGGTGGTGTGCTAACGGGTTCGTGCCAGGAACACCTCGTTGCGACCAATGATCGAGGGTGTTGGATATTGTGCCGCTAACCCCAGAGCGGTCGATGAAATGAGGACTTTTACAGCGATGTTCAAATCAATGTCTCCGACGAGAGGCGCTGGGGGGGGGGGGGGGGGGGGGGACGAAGAAGGATGACATGAATGGTCAAGCGACAAGCGATTCCGTTCATGCTCATTTGGGAATGAGATATAACTACCGACCGGTCTGGGTCGGCACGTAAAGTGGAATCTCTGCTCTTTTTGTGACGGGCATGGCATTCCTTTTCAGATTGCCCTTCCAGATGTGTACACCTCGCTTGGGAGTTTGTTGTCGTCCTCCCTTTGGAGTTTGGACCCTTTCCCCAAATCCCCACGGCGATCCCCACGGTGAGCGATGAGGTCAAAGAGCAAAAGGGGGCCCACTGGACAGGGCCCGGGCCTGGAACTCGTGGTCCAGTTTTTTCTTACCTCAGGGGTAAACCCATTGGTCGTTCTAACGGTCATCGTGCCAGACCGCTGTCACGGGCTTCAGGTCTCCTCCGGGTCGGGGCCGGTGCAAAAGACTGAACACAAAACATTGCTTGCCTCGATTCAAGTCTGAGCTGTATTACACATGGCGATTTCGAGGTCGTTGTCGACTATGCACGGAGTCGGATGACCCTGAGTAGCCAGTCAGACCACTGTTTGTAGGGATTGCTGATTTGCTGGCGCCGTCGGCCGATCAGAATATTAAGGTTTGCGGGAAACCCGGGAAGCGACAGGTAAGAGGTGTGCAACGGTAACGCAGTGTGCAGCGCCATGGGTGGGAGGGAAAGTGAAGATGGTGTTTGTTTTGCTTTCTCAGGGCATTTCTTTGGATGTGATGGGAAGTTGAGAACAGAAAACAAGCCATATTGCAGCGCCATGCATGAACTCCCCCCTCCCTCCAACTTTTGTCATCTGTCGGTTTGACTTGTCGGATAGGGTCATCGGAACTTACCGCTTCTTGCCTGCCCAGAGAAATGTTGATGCACGGAACATTTGTTTGTCTTTGTTGGAACAATCCGAGCTGACAGCCGCGGCTGCCAGAAGCACAGAAGGTGTCTGCAGATCACCGCCTTCAACTTGGAGCTGTCAGTGCTGTCAAGAAGGGCGGAATTGTCAGGGGGAAATAGCGGTGTCAACCCTAACCCTTATCACAGACGTTTTATCCCAGCAGCTGCCCAGCTATCAACCTAGGTACATCGACGTTGACGACATTTTCATCAAGACACCAACCAGGAACATTCACACGTGTTGAAGAAAGTTGCATCTCCGGCTCTTACCATCGTCACTACACCCAAGGATCTATGACGCAGAACGGTTCAAAGTCGCAAAATATCCATTATAATTATTTTTGTGGGTATATGTCTAAGTAGGTATCTGCACTCTCCAGCAACCAACCGGATTGAGTTATTTAGATATCTCCTTTCTCTTTCTTCCCTCTCCCTCGAATTCCCATGTCATCAAAATCCTCCACTCCATCTCAGCCGCCATTATAATCCATGGAAAGTTATGCGAGCCAAAGCGGTAGTTCCGCGTTCTCATATCCTCCGCTATAATATTCCTTAATCATGACTCCATCCATCGATGCCTTGCTCAAAAAGCAACTCGTTTAAACGCGCTTGACAGCGGGGACACCGGAGGGAAGAGCGGGGACACCGGAGGGAAGAGCGGGGACACCGGAGGGAATAGCGGGGATACCGGAGGGAACAGCGGAAACACCGGAGGGAACAGCGGGGACACCGGACACCTCGGGCGCGACAGCCTTGGCGCCATCGACGACCTTGCCAGCGGCCTCAGCCGGGGCGGGAACGGCGGCAGCATCAGCAGCGGCAGGGGCAGCGGCGTCGGTAACAGGAGCAGTGGCGTCAGCGGGGACAGCACCGTCGACGCCAGGGACGCCAGGGACGCCAGGGACGGCGGGAACGGCGGGAACGGCAGGGACGCCAGGGACGCCAGAGACGGAGGGAGCGGCGGGAGCGGAGACACCGTCAACGGCAGGGACGCCAGGAACGGCAGGGACGCCAGGGATGGCAGGGACGCCAGAGACGGCGGGAGCGGTGGGAGTGGAAACACCGTCAACGGCAGGGACGGCAGGGACGGCAGGGACGGCAGGGACGGCAGGGACGGCAGGGACGCCAGAGACGGCAGGGACGCCAGAGACGGCAGGGACGCCAGAGACGGCGGGAGCGGCGGGAGTGGAAACACCGTCAACGGCAGGGACGCCAGGGACGCCAGAGACGGCGGGAGCGGCGGGAGCGGCGGGAGCGGAAACACCGTCAACGGCAGGGACGGCGGGAACAGCGGGCGCGTCAACGGCAGGAGCGGCAGGAGCCTCAGGAGCGTCAACAGGAGGAACGACGTTCTTCATCTGGTGCACATAGTGGCCCGCGGAGGGGACGCTAGTCGAGAGCGGAACAGCGACAGAAGGCTGAGCAGGGGCGTAGGAAGAGGCCTTGTCAAGAGCAGCCTTGGCCTGCTGGCCGGCTACCTGGTGGACCTGCTGGACGGGCGCGGGAGCGGCGGTGGAGAGGGGAATAGCGGCCGCGAAGACGGAGGAGGCCGAGGCGGCGAGGAGGTAGGCGAAGAAAGAGGTGGTGGTCTTCATTTTGGATGGTGGTGGTGGTGTTTGGTTGGTTGGGTGTTTAAAATGGGTATTATGTTAAAAAGTAAGTAATGTGGTGATTGTTGAGTTGGTAACGAGTGTGGTGAATGAGAAGCTTGGTGGTGATGACAAAATTGGGCCGGAAAGACGGGAGGGGAGAGCGGTTTATGTAGATGTTCTTCTTGATGGACTTGAAGTCAAGATCATCATTCTCCTTTTGTTGTTCCCCATCCCAAGGGGAATAGGAGATGTGGGTTGGGTACTGTCTCCATCCATCCACCCATCCACCCATCCATCATCCATCCATCATCCAGGGTACCTAGTGATGATGAGATGCTGCTCACTTACTTGGCGGTTGTGGTGCGGTGTTGGGACCTTTCTTCAACCCCCTACTCCCCCAAGTACTCTATGACTGACCGCAAGAGCAGAAGATGTTCTGGTTCATCACCAAGATCGTTAAACACCCTCTGGGCGTACGGATTACGGAGTGGCTTGAATTGTGTGGATACAGTTACAGTTACTGTGTACAGTTCGGCAGTTGTAAGGCTGTATGCTATGTCGTTCACTTCGTTGAGCCACCTCCTAACCCCATGTTGTCAAGGAGTAAGCGATGGCCGTTGTTCTAGAGAATGATCCCTACTTGGCGCCCAGAAGCCCCCAAGTATGCGATGAAACCTTACAATCTGCAGGGACGTTAGGAGGTTTTGCAAATCGTTCAGTCCATTCAGCGAAGATCTATGTTGCATACGGACAAAGATAGGCAAACTAACAAAAAACCTCCATGATATGGATCCCGATCGGCATATCAAAATGGATACCACTGCCAAGGGGCGGAATTAGACGAGCGGAACGAGGCACTATGAGGCTGCGATCAGTTACCTTGATGGGACTGACCCCTTTGATTACTTTCCTCATCCCCGCTTTCAACTTCAACTCCATCATCCCGTGGGATTAGCGAGTGGATATGTTTGTGGAGGAAACACAGTTCATGTCATGTCGTCCCGTTGTGTTTACATTGCCTTGCCCACTCAACCGTTCGGTGTCGCTTATTACCGTTCAAGACACAACCCCCACGGTTCCGTGATCAAGAACAAGCGAACCCCTCGAATGTAGGCTATTGTTTTGAAGTGCGTCAATAATAAGCGATTCCGTTTATTCAAATGGTAAGTGATGGTGGTGGTAGGTTTTCAGTCATTACTGATGTCGATCTGTCACAGGTGAAGACATGTTGGATCACCACGACTTCTGTACCGCTAATTCTCATTCACAAATGGGATTTATCCACAGACGGTACTGGCCAATCGTAGGTCTGCTACCTAGGCACGTCGAGCCGTCGCATGCAACCTCTTCCCAAGATATGATTGGCCGTTAGAGCGTGGGGATAAATCCCATGTGAATGAGAATTTGCGGTATGGGCAATCTCAACACGTGGGTAAAGGTCAATTTTAAAGAGAGGAGATGTATGCATTGTATTCAACTGTTTCCAAACAACGGTCATGTTCCGCTCCATCAGCATTCAAATATGTACCCACGAGATAAACCCACCTTGTCCTCATTTCCGGTTGTTCCTCCCCAGCTCAAAGCTCAAACTTCTCCCCAACCAACTCCTCACTCAACCTCCAAAGCCTTTCCGCATCCTCCTCATCAAGTGCCCAAGGCGCCACAATCACCGGGTCCTTCGTGAACTGACAATCACTCAAAAACACGCCATCCTCCTGCTTCTCCAGCTCCGGGTCCAGCGCCGCCCTCAGCGTAGTCGCACAACCCGCCTGCAGCGTCTTGAACGGAAACTCCTGTGTCATCCCCAACCTCTGCTTAAGCTCCTCCATCAACTCATCGTTCATATACCGGAGCAAGGGGGTATAGATGCCGCCAGGGTGCAGGGCATACGACCTGATGCCCGTCTTGCTGGCGAGAAGCCGCTTGTTCAGCGCAAGAGTAAAAAGCACGTTGGCCGTCTTGGCCTGGCCGTAGGCCTCCCAGGCTCTGTACTCCTCCGGACGCTTGGTGTAGCTGGGGTCGTCCCAGCGGATGCCGCCGAGGGTGTTACCCAGGGAGGAAAGGTTGATGATGCGGGTCTTGCCCGCACCGGCAGATGCTCTAAGCTTGGGTAGGATGTGGTTCGTCAGCACGAAGTGGCCGAGGTGGGCGGTGGCGAATTGCAACTCGAAACCGTCGACGGTGAGTTCGTAAGGGCAGGCCATGACGGCGGCGTTGTTGATGAGGACATCTATGTGGGTGATGGATGCGTCGTTGAGGATTTCGCGGGCTGCTTCACGCACGCTGTTCGCCGAGGTGAGGTCGGCAGCGACGAACTTGACGGCGATGGATGGGTTGACGGCGTGGACGGCGTCAATGGTGGGCTGGATCTTGCTGAGGGTGCGTCCCACGAAGATGAGCAGCGCTGGGTTGGCATGGGCAAGCGAGATGGCTGTTTCCGCGCCGAGGCCTCCCTCACTTGGGCCGGTGATAAGGACTAAATGTGAGGAACGTAGTGTTAGCGATGGAGCTCTTGGAAGAGCCAGCTGGGTTGAACTTGCATGTGCGTCCGGACACTTGGTCTTGAAGATGGCGTACCACATCAAGGCCTTCCGTGTTGAGATCGAAGTTGATGCCCGACATTATGCTGGACTGTTGATCTTGGTGATGGGTTACTGGAAAGTAAATTGGACTGTTGTTGTCGAAGTTGTCTCTGTCTATCGTGGTAAAGCCTGCTCTAACCATCCGGCAGGAGAACATGAGAGGTCTGAGGCCATCTTATAGCTCTTCACACGACCCGCCATTACAAATCAATAGATTGTATCAAAGGTCCACGACTTCCAATGTAGGCCAAGAGTGTGAATACTTGGTGCGGATGAGAGGCCGATCTATGCGGCACCGCGGCCGCTCCCGGGCCGCTCGGGCATAATTATACGGCACTCGATCATACCGGGCTTAACTCCGTGACCGCCTCAACATGAAGTGGGTCAGCTAGGCTCGGGTTAGGGGATCGATTTGTCATGTTTACTCAGGTAGAGATGGCAGATTGAGGTTGCTTCAGGTCGGTGAGCGGATGGTAGTTTGGTTGGTACATAATATGGGTCGTTATAATGTGTTTAGGATCCATTATCTTGTACACATTCAGGGGCGGACTGGCGGGTACCGTACCGAGCATTGTGCACGAACCATGTCTCCCGCGAGCTCAGAGCCTCAGCATGGTGGGGTGTTTGGGGCCCGTGCCTTTGCGCGTCCTGAACGACCTGCCGTGTCACAGCGTGTCGAGTTCACTTTCCATTCTTAACTTTCAATCCCAATAACTTTGTTAATCTAGACATTCACTCTTGCCAAACTTCAGCCAAACATTTCTCAGAACTTTCAGGAACTCTCAACATTTGTACCAACTGTCAGGTACTACCTAGTAGTAGTGTCTCTGACTTGGAGCTCCATTCCGTCGGTTTTCCGTCAGTTACAAGCCGTGCTGGCGGGGGAACACTGCACAAATACATACCCGTTGGGCAGGTGGCCAGTGCTACTTCAGGGCTTCCGACCTACCTGGTGTTTGTCTGATCTCGACAACCCAACCCATTGCATGTGCAATTCCCAGCAGCAGCATCATTTGAGATCACTTCTCAATCAACTCTTCCCCACATTTACCCTTCTTCATTTCATAACCATATCAACAGTGTTGATTTTCACCGTTGAAGAGAAGTCTTTTACCCAGTTACTAGGACGCCGCCTGCACCTGTCATGGTCACCATGTCCGCCTCAAACGGCCAGGACGACGACAAGGACAAGAACCTTTACCTTGGCTTAAGAATCGCACGCAGCGATGGCAAGGGATACGACAACCTCGACCACAATGCACTAGACCCCAAGGAGGACCAGGACGTCGCGCAGCTTGAACGTTGGGAGGTCATCATCGGTGGTCATTTGCAGCATCAGCTCGGCCTCCCAAGCGACAAACAGTACAAGCTCGCCGTTCTACCCAAGGGGTACGAGCTTCGATGCGCCATCAGAAAGGACGGCGGTAGAGACTACTACCTGTATGGTCACCCGGCTGGCCGCAAGGCTGTATATCGGACTCCGGGTGACTTCGTCTTACATGCCCTCTTCCTGCTCAGCAAGCACGCTGATCACAGTCAATGTTCCTGCGATCTCTGCGGTAAGATGATTGAGTCTCAGAAGCTGAGGCAAGCCGATCAACAACATGCACAGAGAATCCAACAGGTACTGGGACAAAAGCAAAGGCAGCAGCAACTAGAGCAGCAGCAAAAACAGCAGGAGCAGCAACAAAAAGAGCAGCAGCAGCAGCAACAACAACAGCAACAACAGCAACAAATCCAACAGGTGCAACAGGCGCAACAGGCGCAACAAATCATGCAACAAAACCAACAGCAACAACACCAGCAACTGGGACAGCAGCAAGCCCAAGGCAGCCTTCAGTCACAGGTCTTTGCGGCCCCAGGGGTTACAAGTCTCACCAATGTCTTCCGCGCAGGCGAGCTGGTTTGGTACAAGCATCAGGCTTGGAGGCTCGGCGTGATCCTCTCGATCGCCCCCAAGAGGCAAACGCCAGGCCCTGCGCCAGACGCGGCCTTCAACTTCTTGGTGGCACCCCTGGGCCACCGGACGTTGGGACAACAAAGCTTCTATATCGACGCCAAATCCATGCGCCCATTCCTCACCTTCAGTGTTCCAGGTGTTGGCGAAAACTTCTCGAGCTTGGCAAATCGGACATATGACTCGATCGACTGGCCGACCTTCTCTGTCCAATATTGTCAGAGTCTTGGCCTCACGGATCCCAGTCAGCTGGATATCGCCAGGCAGACCGTCGGACTCGAAGCGTCAAAGTTGGCGGCCAAGTACATCAATGATTGCTATTCTACATTCAACAAACTTAACAAGTCGAACGCCAGTGGCGTGCAAGATACCGTTTTCCATGAAGGAGTCTATCTCGGGGCTGAAATGATCCGTGTCGGTGATCCTGTACGCGTCGTTGGAGGCCATGTTGGCAACGGCCATAACAACGGTGGTGCTGAGGCGAACGCTGTCATGCTTGTCTCGGAGATTGTTACGGATGCCCACGGAATGAATATTCGGTTCAAGGGTAATCTTTTCCAGACCGTCCGGTCTGTTCCGCCCATGCCACCCAACGTCGTCACCCCCGAGTCTCTGGGCCAAGTCTTTATTGAAGAAGTCATGTCAAGGAATGAGATCGAGAAGTACAACAAGGCGCGATGGGGCTGGGCGTTGGTTGAGCGGGACGCGGTGCGGACCGAAGTTGACACACTGGGCCGCTTCTATGTGACGCATCGGTTGATGAACATCATTGACCCGGCGCGGTTCACGGCGTCAGTCCAGAAAGGGGTGGTGGAGGATGCGCACGCATACCTGAACAATCGAGCTCATAGCGGGAGCGGCAGATTCAATGGTCCAAAAGCGACGCGCGCTGACACGTTGGGGCTGGCTGTAAATGCGATGTTCGCCGCACCGGAGGGGATGGATGAGAGCTTCTAGGAAACTTGGCTATCCAGAGACATGGCTAGGATATCTGGCTATTTCTCGATATATTAAATTGGTGTATGGGTTTGTATTTCAATTCGAAAGATGTCTGAACAGAGGACAACGAGCGGCGAGGCACATCAAGCATCAAGAATCATGTAAAGGAAATACGCGATCTAGTCAACAGGAAGCGATTCCGAGAACCATTGGCAGAGGACGGAGGTTTGAACTTGGCTTACTGGAAGCGTACCTCCAAGTATATGGATGACTGTTGTAAACATGGGACTAAGAATGGGAACACTTGTTATACAGATGGGGCTAAAGAATGGGATGTGAAGAAGTGCGCAGGATGTTTCGCACTGAATAACTTGGCTTCATGTTTACACTTGCTCATGCTGTTAGTGCATTGTTAGTGGAAATTAAACATGGTGTCCCACTTGCGCCTGTCAACCCGCTACAGAAAGATATCACTAACAGCAACTACCAGAACTTTGTTTCCCCGCAGCCAAGACGTTAGGGCGTGTTCGAGTCGCCAGGAAGTGGCTCTCGGAAATGGTCTTGGAAGTTGAAAGGTACAAAGCTGGTCTGAGCGCATTTCCAGGTCCCATTTGGACCAGTTCCCCTCCTCAAAATCGACGGAAGAGTTTCGCGGAAATTTGGCTCGCCAAGAATTTTTTGGGCCAATCACACTACACGCATCACACTTAGTGGAGCAATTCAACTTCCAAGACATTTCCAAGCCCAATGAACGCTTGGAAACTTACATTCAAAGAGTGACTTTGGTCAGGAATTAGCCCAAAAACCTTGAAGTACTTGGCACAGACCACATTTCCAAGTCACCCTTTCCGAGACCACTTCCTGGCGACTCGAACACGCCCTTACACGTTAGGGAACTGCAGGGAGGCAATTAGTGGTCTCGTGGACATCGCGGTTTCGAGTTCTTACTCCGACGTCACTCGCTCATACACATCGAGTGGAGGTTAAACGTTGTGTTGTTGATCCTTTCATTTTGCGAGGTTTCGGTTTGCTCATGATTAGCCTCTTACCCTAGAGCTTCATCTGCAGGAAGGATCGCGAGTCCAAAAAGCCTCTTCCATATCACCACCACTCAAGTTGAACCATCCAAGCTGCAAAGCCGCTCCCATCGCAACCATAAAACCAACAATCCGGGAATACGTCAGCCAGTGCTATGACTCGCACCACGTCCTGGCTGTCGCTGATATTGCCTTTGTCGATACCTCTGCTGAGGCCGGCAGTGGTAGAGGCATCAGAGCTCAAATGGGATATGGACCAGGTGCCAATCAAGGGCAAATTCGATGAGACTGCTTGTCCAGACTATGCATCCTATGCCACTTATCCCCAGTGAGTCCAGCATTCCTTTGGTCAGGCGCAGTCGCTAATTCGTGTGGACAGCCGACCCTATAGCGAAGGTCCTCTCTCCCTCCCCTTCCAGCGCCCCCACGTCAGGTGCCGGACCTTTCAGTCTGACGCCATCGAGAAGGTTATCAAGGATGTCACATCCCGCATGAAGAACCCTGATCTTGCACGTCTCTTCGAAAATACCTTCCCTTCTACTACGGACACCACGGTTAAATTCCACACCAATGGCAGAGACGGCAAGGAAAAGAAGAAGACAGTGACTGACATCGACGATGACCCATGGATCAGTACGTACGAGGACCCAGGCAAATGGGAGGGGCCGCAGTCGTTCATCATCACGGGCGACATCCTGGCCGAGTGGCTGCGTGACAGCACCAATCAGCTGAAGCCGTACCAAAAGCTAGCCACCAAGGACAAGGCCATCTTCCACCTCATCCTCGGCGCCATCAACACGCAGAGCGAGTATGTGATCGAGTCGCCCTACTGCAACGCCTTCCAGCCGCCGCCCCATTCCGGGCTGCCCGTTAGCCTGAACGGCCAAGACGACACCGTTCACCCGGCCTTTGACCCTTCATTCGTCTTCGAGTGCAAGTACGAGCTAGATTCGCTCGCGCACTTCCTCGCGCTGACCAACGCCTTCTACGCCCACACCAAGAGCACCGACTTTCTCAACACGCGGTGGTACAAGGCGCTTGACTCGGTGTTTGAGGTGCTCGAAGCACAAAGCAAGAGCACGTTCGACCCGGAGACGGGCTCGTACCGGCGCAACCAGTACACATTCCAGCGCCGCACCGACACGGGCACCGAGACGCTGAACCTCGGCGGAATCGGTAACCCGCTGAACAACGGAACGGGTCTGATCCGCTCGGCGTTCCGGCCCAGCGACGATGCCACCATCTTCGGCTTCTTCATCCCTGCCAATGCGCAGATGGCTACAGAGCTCAAGCGGACTGCGGCCATGTTGAGGACGACAGGGAACAAGAAGGATGCCACAAGGGCAGAGACGGCCGAGGCATGGAGCAAGACAATCACGGAGGGTATCTGGGAACATGGTGTCGTCCACCATCGCAAGTACGGCGAGGTGTTTGCGTACGAAGTGGACGGCTACGGCAGCGCCCTGATGATGGACGATGCCAACTACCCCAGCTTACTGGCGCTGCCGCTGATGGGCTTTGTCTCGGTGGACGATACGACATACCAGAACACGCGCAAGATGCTGCTGGAGAAGAACAGCAATCCGTACTATCTGGAGGGAAGAGAGTTCATGGGCATCGGAGGCCCGCATATCGGCCTGCAGAATGCATGGCCCATGAGCCTTTTGGTGCAGGCGCAGACGTCAGATGATGACGATGAGATCATGAAGTGCTTGAACCTGGTTCTGAACGCGAGCAAGCTTGGGTTGATTCATGAGAGCATTGATGTGAACTGGTCTCATTCTTATACACGTGAGTACTCTTCACGCTCTTGGAGGGATGTCCATGAGGCATGAACAAAGCTGACATGATATTTTGACAACATAGGAAGCTGGTTCGCTTGGGCAAACGGAGTTTTTGCGGATACGATATTGGATATTGCAAAGCGCAAGCCGCATCTCATCTTTAAGGATGTGACACCTTATGAACCTTGACTATGAAGAGGATGGTGATACCCGTTATCGTTGGATTTTAGATACCAGGAATGAATTCTAATTGGATGAGAAACCTTTGCACTTGGCTCACCTCGATATACTTTGTCTGCTGTTATGCCTGCGTTATAGGACGATGTTCTTTTAATTAACCGAAGACCTGGTGTTGTGATGCAACCGTGATGAAATGTTCAATGAAACATGAACGTCGAAAGGATTAGAGGAGAATGAGGAAACCATAACATATGAATGCCAGTTTTCGATAAAAGAAGAGAAAGCGAAAAAAAACAGGAGAAAGAAACAATTGCACTGACAGAAAAGGGCAAATCGCATGTCAACGAAAAAAAAAAAACGCAAAAAGATGAGTCCCCTCGACCGGAATCGAGCCGGTGACCTTTCGGTATACAATCTAGACAATTACAGCCGAACGTGATATCCAACTACACCACAAGGGGTTTTTCTCAATGGTTAATGTCCCGGATAAAATGTTGAGCTTATAATGTCTACAATCTGCAGCCATCAACCTTGTCTGTAATTACCACCTGTCACGTATTCATCGGCCGTCCGGCCTCGGCGGTATCGTAGCGTCACATTAGTCTCTCATAACAGACGTTCAACCTAATTTGTCAGCCCCCATCCACTCCGTTCCGCAGTCTTTTTGGTCTCTGCGGGTTCAAATGGTGTAACATTATGATTGGTAGGTAGGTGGGTGTGGTGGGGCTAATGTCACAACCATTTGGACCCACAGGGACCAAGAAACGCAAGGGCCATGCGTAGGTGAATGAGACCAGTGTAGATAATAATGCCGTTTTCGTACAATTACTAGCTACAAAAACTTACAAACTGATAACATCTAAATACATGAAGCAAAACGCCGTCGCACCCGTGTACCAAATAAATATTGCAGTGGGTAACATTTATCGCTGTTCGCCGGATGGCGGCGTTGGCCGCTAAGGTCCGCCAAGGAGGAACGGCCGTCTGCCGGAGCCCCGTCCGTTATCTCGGTGGTTGCAGCGAGACATCAGTCAGATTATCAGTGATCGCCGCGTCATCTCCTGGACTACAGTAATGTCCCCTGCTTCTGCAACCCCCCCCCCTAATACAAGATCGCCGTTAAATGCAAGGAATTCTCGTGCCGGAATTATTTTCCCATACTAAGACTGCAAACTGCAAATTGCAAGGCCTCAAAGGCGGATTTGCAAGAACAGGGGTGTATTTTTGCTGGGAGAGAATATTTCTGGCCCCTGGACTGGGCGACTTACTCCACTTTTAATGTAGTTAGTGAGCGATCACAGCGGCTCGAGAGTGGGCAGCGACTGCAAATGGTCTGTACACCGGCGCCCCTAATTGCAAGATCCCCCTTAAATGCAAGAAAAATGGCTGCCCGGATTCCTTGTAGAAGCAGGGGACATTACTGTACCTAAACAGCCACACTGCAGACTGCAGTTTCCATCTTCCCGAACATGATGAGCATGTTCCTGAGGATCTGCCCGTGTCTCCCCGTCTTTTTGGCATATGCATTGTGTCATCGGACTCGGCCGACTCCACCATGAGACACAACATCAGGTAACTGATAAGGGGGGGCGGACTTCCACCCAAAGTATAAGTAACGACACAACATCTCAATTTTAAATTCCTGAACCGGATACAACTGCGAGTAACAAGAGAACGAATCAACATACACTACATCGAGACACACATATCCAGGATGGCTTCAAACACTACCACACCCGTCATTACCCCCCTTGCCCATCCCGAGGGCTCGAACCTCGACTTTGGAGCTACAGTAACGGGAGTCGACATTGAGAACTTGACTGGTAAGGTTGCAACAACGTGAAACTCGATATTCGTGATTATGATGATTTGATATCTACCATTCACATGGGAGAATACCCGTAAAATCGGTAACCTCCTCGGTAAGGCACCACTCAACTTTCAAGCCAGATACTTTCACCTGGCGTTGTTCCCTTTCCCAACTCCGGCACTAACCTCATCCTTCCCAAAAAAACAGACCAAGACTTCGCCGTCCTCCGCACCGCCCTCTTCACCCACCAAGTCCTCGTCATCAAGAACCAATCCCACGTCACCCCTCGCGCCCAGTACGAGTTGACCCAACGCTTCGACCCTCTCGCCGCCCCCCTCTACGGCCACGGCAACGACTCCAAGTCGGGCTCCGCCGCCGTCGCCAGCAAATCCATCCTCCACCCCGACCTCAAGACCATCCCCCACCAGCCCCAAGTCCAAGTAATCGGCAACGGCTTCGTCCCCGCCTACGAAGGGCTCACCAACATCCAACTCCGCCACCCTCACCACCACACCTTCCACTCTACCTCCATCCCCGCCTCCCACGACCTCACCCACACGCGTTTCTACCGGTGGCACATCGACGCCGCTCTCTACGGCGGCGTCGCCCGCGCCCCGCCCGTGGTGACCACGCTCCTCGCCGTCAAAGTCCCCAAAGGTCGCAGGCAGACGTGCGTCTACGACGACGGCACGGGCGACGAGCTGGATGTGCCTCTTGGCACCACGGCTTTCGTGTCGGGTTACAAAATGTACGACATTTTGTCCGACACCCAAAAGGCGTTTGCGCGCTCGACGAGGGTCGAGTACGCGCCGCATCCGTATGTCTGGATGTCGAGCGCCAAGTCACGCAGTACCGGTCTGGGCATGGTGTCTGAGGGGAAGGAGATGCCACTCGGAGAACTGCCGGAGATTGAAGAGGATAAAATCCAGATCTTGCCCATGTGCTGGCGGAACCCGGTTACGGGCAAGTTGGCGCTGCAGGTCCATCCCAGCGCGGTGAGGAGGCTGCACCTTGGGGATGGGACGGTGGTGGAGGATTTGAAGGAGGTGAGGGAGATTGTTTATGGACTGCAGAGGCCGGGGATTGCGCCGGGCTTGGTTTATGCGCATGACTGGGAGGAGGGCGATTTGGTGATTTTTCATAATAGGGGCACGTTGCATAGTGTTGTGGGAGCGTTTGCGGAGAGTGAGGTGAGACTGTTTAGGCAGTGTAATATTGCTGGGAGTGAGTTCCCGGAGGGGCCGGAGAAGTTGTGTGAGGAGGGGGAGAGCGAGGAGGTGCATGAGGAACAGGAGGAGGGGGTTGTGGAGGTTAAGGAGCAGGAAAAGATTCCTGGACTGAGGACGGGAGCGGTGGAGGTTGGTGTTGCTGCTTGAATTGGAGGAGGAGTTGATGAATGATGCGCTTTTCATGATACCTTTCGTAGTTTGTTGCTCTTGTTTTACATTTTTTCCTACATAGCTGAACAAATTATTGAACATCTTTATACCTAAGAACTTGACTCCATTCGTGATAGTTACGGCATGGCACACTCTTTGGATGAATCCAGCAATGACTTAGCCCGAGACAAACAGACGAACCATGCAAGGTGCTAAGGAAACCTGTAACTCCGTGCTATTGGGTTCAAATCTAAGCCAAGAAGAATACCTACATTCGTGTACAGGGTATTGTCCAAGTTATTAACGACCCATTCGCCCCTTAATCTGGTTGCCCATTCATCTTTTGATAACAACCCAAACCTCCCATTGTCTCCTACCCACCCACATAGGAAAAGGAAATGCAACATTTTCCCTCAACTGAGTACACCACCACACGTAACCATCATTACTCCTCTTACTTAAACCACACTCTCCAACTTGAAGCCATCATAAACCGGGGGCATAGTTCTCGTCGGTAGATCATGCTCTCCCCCTCCCAAATCAACAAAACCTGACGACGCAAAACTAGGCTTTGTTTCAACGAACCCTGATAAACCAAAGCTATGCTTAGCTTCAACCAAACTCGAAGCATTGTAACCATGCTCTAGCTTCACCTCAACCAGCTCATTCCCCGCCCCCGCCGCCGCCGGCGCTGCCCCAAACTCATAATCATAGCACATATCCCTCATCGGCGGCGGCTCCGAAATAGGCACCCACTCCTCAAACGTGCCCACCCCCCCTTCCCTCTCCGGCTTCCACACATGGAAAATCACCCTCCTATACCCCGTCCTCAAGCCCTTGCCCGCGCCCGTGCCCGGGTTATCCTCCTCCTGCTCCACGGTATGATCGCCCGTAATCACACACTCCCTGAGTCTCATCCTGTCGGGGGGCATCGGCGTCGTCCCGGGCATCATCCGACCGACTAGCGAGTTGACATCTGGTGCTAGACGAGTAGTAGTAGTAGTAGTACGACGGGATATGGACTGATGCCCCAAACCCTTTGCCTGGGCCATCGATAGCAAGAGCGTCTCGCGGTCGGCGCCGTGCTCGATCTCGATGAGTCGCCAGCCGATGCAGAAGGTTAGTGTTGAGTCCCAGAGCCCCTGGTGGAGAGCGGATAAGGTGGTCATGTGCTCCAAAGCGGTCACGCGGGTCTCGAGGTGGCGGCAGCGCATGACGACGAAGTAGAGCATGGGGAGGTAAGCCATTTCGTAGACGAAACGGGGTTTGTTGGTGTTGTTGGTGTTGCTGTTGTTGGGTGGGGATGCGGGACCACCACCACCACCACCACCAGCATCCTCTTCAGTCGCCTGTCGAGGTGGCGACGGTCCTCGCGGTCGGCTCTTCTCGGCGGCCAGATAGCGGCCGGCCATGTCGACGATCTCGCGGAACAGGGGCACGAACCGGTCGTACACCATCTCGGTGCGGTCCAGCGCCGTGGCGATCCAGATCTTGGTGATGTAGCTCTTCATGCGCATCTGGTAGAACAAGCCGGCCGCGTCCTCGGTGGGCGAGTGTACGGCGCTGAAGATGGTGAAGCGGACCAGCCAGTCGTCGATGGACTTGGTCAGGTTGGCCTGCTCGGTCAGGATCTGGGAGGGGACGGGCTCGTGCCGCGAGGGCCCGATCCGGTAGAGGTCGGCGGAGCGGAGGAAGCGCATGGCGCGCGCGACGAGGAGGTCGAGACCGGACCGGAGCTCGTCGAGCACGGTTAGGGCGCTGTCGGATGCGAGAGCGGCGGCGGTTCCTGCGCCGTAGGTACCACCGTCTGACTCCGGTGCTTCGGACCCGTGCCGGAGGAGCCTGGGGAAGACGTCGACTGTGCTGCCGTAGAAGAAGGGGAAGATGCTCAGACGGGCAAAGGGGTTTAGAAGCTGGTCCCGGGACAGGATGGAACTTGATGAGTTTAGTTTGCTCTTGCCCCCGTTGAGCTGATTCAGGATTTGGACGCCATGATGGCAGTGAGAGATGGCCGCCTCTCGGTTGCCCTGGAGGATTTCTATACAGACGAACAGGATACAAACAAAGATGACCATGGCCTCATCGTCGGTCTTGGATATGTCCTGGAGGGCGCGGTTATAGTGCCCGATGGCATACCGACCCTTTGGGAACTTGACGAGGGCTTGCCCCTTGACGCTGGGGTCGCTGATGAGCTCGCAGATGGAGCTGATGGCGACGACGGCATGGCGGACGACGGGGTTCTGGTAGCTGGCCCGGCTCACCACGTGGGTCCAGAAGTCGTCGTCTAGCGAGCCGGAGAAGGTGGGTGCGAGCACGCACCGGTAGAACTCGAGGGCGCGGCCCTCCTGGGAGTTGTGACGATGCGTCACGGCCGGGATGATGGGCCGTTTGGCCAAGAGCTCCTGCCATGACTGGGAATGCAACGGAGCGGCTGGATAGCCATCACACCTGCGGCCCGTCTTGGTGCAGCGGAGGCAGCTCGGCTTGGTCTCGTCACATTTTACTTTGCGGATCCTGTCGTGACGGAGCAAGTGCAGATGGCAGCGTGCTCATGTTAGCCTATGGATCCTTCTCTGACTTTTTATAACGAGCAGTAGGTAGATATATGAAGATGGACTGAGGTGAGACTCGGAGTATCTTTTGGGTGAGATGGTTGCGGTGCTAGGTAGGCGGTATGGTTTCGGTGTTACATTGGACCTTCATGCCAACAGGATATGGGGCCGGTCCGAGCCTCATCGTACGAGGTGGCACACACTCAAGTAGGTAGATGATAGGCGCGCTTCAAGGGAACCGAAGGGACCGGAAGGGATGGACGGATAAAGTAAGATAGAGTAAACAGAATTACGCACTTGCATGTATAACACCCCGTTCTGACCTTTTGCCTTCCTGCCCTGACCATGATTGCTGCTGTAATGAACGCCCAGAAAGTCGGCAAGGGAGAAGAATCCCTAGAAGGTATACAGTGGTAGGTATGCCTCTACCGCACCCAGTTCCCAGAATCCCAATTGAACGGATCGCCTATCAGCTCGCTCGCGTGGGGGAACAAAGAAACAGATTCGTCTGTAGGGCAAGTGGTGTGTTGTTAGAAACACAGATGAAACGAATGTAGCGGAGAAGAGACGTGCGAAAGTCGGTACTCGAAAAAATGCGAGAGGAGCGTCGCCGAGACAATCAAGGGATGGCGGAGTCGGAAAACAGAGAACTCGATGTCGGTCCAAGGAGTAGCCCACGGCGGAGGTACGAATAGAAGCACAGAGAACCTATCGACGCCGTACTTGCCTGCTATGGCTAGGCCAGTTTTCGTAGGCGACACCGACTTCCAGGCGTCGTTTATCGCGATCTGCTCAGTACAGATAGTCCATTGTTTTTCCCAACTTCAACGGCGTGGATTGGGTGACGGAGAAGACAAACAGTCCGATGGTGGTGATAAGACGAAACGGGACAAGAGCCAGTTCTTCAGCCCTATTGTACTCGGAGCTAACCGCCAATAGATGTCCAGCTGGGTGGGTCAGCTGTGAATATCAATACCAGAAACCGACAAGAGCCACAGCATCGAGAAGCACTCTCACACTGTATCTGCGGTGGCCAATCACATGAGTGGCTGCAAGAGGAAGCTGAAGAGAATGCTCACCAACCTCCAGGGGCGTAATATCGGAACCCGAGGATTGTTGTTTAGGTAGCTTGGGGAAAACGTACCCGGTCATCATCCTGGGATTGTCTCCCAACAAGTAAGTGTATGTATTTATTTCCGGTTTTAGGCGCCCCTTTTCCCGCCTCCCACTTAAAATTCGGGGGTGGTGACTAACAGTAGTGTAACCACCACCAAAAGCATCGCGACTTTTCTTCAAATCCGTGAGAGTTCATTCAATATACACAGCGTATCATATGTCCCGTGTAAAAAAGCCAGATCATCCATCCCATGGTATCCCATCCCCAAACGCTTTCCCATATCCTATTACTCCTCGCACGCACGTACTCCAGTTACGAAAAAGAAGAAAATAGACAATGCCACTACCAACTCATATGACCGTCACCCACCATTCCGCGAATATTTCCCCTTTATATCATCTCACATCATCTGAATCTCCCCCGCCAACACAGGAGTCTGCGCTCTCGATTGACTATGCCCCTGCCCCTGCCCCTGTCCACCATGGCCCTGTTGTCCCTGACCCTGTCCTTGCCCCTGACTCTGACCCTGAGCTTGTCCCAAACCCGACCCCGATTGCTGTGGCTGCTGTGGCTGCTGCTGCTGGTGGTGATTATGATGACCCAACGGCAAAAACGCGTTCGGCACTTTCGGTACCTGCGGCGACAACGGCCCCGTAGCCGCCGCCACCGCCGCCAATCTCTCCTCCCTAGACCGACTGCTTCCTCCGCCCGTCAACCGGCGCATGCGGGATCGGGTACTTTGCGCAAAGGGGCGGATCATGTTTTCGAGCTTGGAGGAGCCTTCTGTTGTTGAAGAAGAAGAGGAAGTTGGATGAAGCGGCACCGCCGGTCCAGGTCCGACGCTGACGCTTGGACTGGCGCTGTGACTACCGCTTACTCCGCCACTGCCGCCGCCGCTGCTATAGTAGGTACCACCGTGTCCTCCTCCTCCTCCGCTGGTGGTAGATGATGAGATGTGGTAGTTCGGGTGGCGGAAGTGCGGGACGCCGGTGCCGGTGTCGGTGCTGGTTGCCGTTGAAGGTCTCTGGTACTGGTCTTCCTCGTTGTCGGAGAAGACGCCGATGTCCTCTGGGTATTCGGCCATGCCGTCGTCGTCGTCGGAGGTGAAGTCGCCAATGTTGGCGAGGTACGAGGCCGGGGCCGAGGGGGAGGTGATGGATCTAGCATGCAGTCCCGGTCGGATGTTGGTCATCAGGAATGGTCGTAGCTGCGAGGTGGAGGTGGAGGTGGTTGATGCCGTGGGCGAGGTGATGACGACACCACCGGGCCCTCCGCCGGTGTCTCCGCCGACAATGCTGCTGATGCTGCCGAACGTGGCGGGGTGCATCATTGAGGGACTGATGGGCGAGGAAGCGGTAGACCCGGCAACTACAGCTGGTCCAGGCCCACCTCCCGAGAATAAGCTTGGCCTATCTGCGAAACCGCTCTGGAATGCCGCAGTGATGTTGTTATTGTTGTTATTCGCCGACGCTTGGTGAAGGATGGGTAAGATCTGCTCGTCATACAGTTGTGCTCCCGCGTCGAAGCTATCCGGGGAGAACTCTGTAATGGTCCTAGATGATCGCCCTTCGCTAGGCGGACCGGTCGACGACAGGTCGTCAAAGAAGTCGTCAAGGCTATCCAGCTTGGAGATGAGATCACCGATGGGCTGATGCTCCAGCCCGCGTGCGTCGTCCGACATCATGGTATCAGCCCTGTCGGAAACAGGGAGGTATCCGTAGGCATATTCATCGTGGAACTCGAACTCGAATTCCATCTCGGCGGGCGTAGGGATATCGCTCTCGGGCATGCCACCCTCCATATTCTGGGAGTTCATTTGGCACATGTAGAAGACAGCGTGGGTGTTAGCGCGCGTCGACTCGGTCTTGCGTGCCGGCATGGGGATAGCCCAGCCAGACGCTTCCGGGATGCCGAATAGGCTCTGTGCACGCTCGTATTCTTTTCGGACGGCCTTGGAGGTGAGCCGTGTCATGCTCATTCGGAGATGATGCTTGTCCATAGATGAGCCAGACATACTCATGATGTTGTCGAGCACTTCGAGAGCCTCCATACAGTATTCTGTTTGGAGCAGACGCAGAAGCGGCGAGATCATGTCGGACCCGTGGCTGGCAATTTCTGGCTTCTTCATGTCCACCTCAGTTATTATGACCCGGAGGATCCGCATCGTGTGAATTTTGACCCAAGCGGTGGCATTGGTCAGCAGCCCCATCAGCATTGTTAGCATCTGGAACTCCAGATCAGGCAAGTAATACTCCCGTAGGGCTGCGTACAGCTGGACTACAAAATCCTTGGCCGAGGGGTACCGATGCCCGAGATAATCATCCAAAGCGACAGCAATGCTTCGCAAACCTTGAATATCGGCAATGTGCAGGAGTGTCTCGACAGTTGGCACAACAGCTGGATCGGGGGACTCCTCCTCCATGGCGTGCAGGAGGCGAGGAAAGTTGGCCAGAATAGTAAAGAAGAAGCGGCCACCGTCTCCTATCAGGGGATCGCTGGGCAGTAGAATAAGCTTGTCGAGTGTTGTCAAAGTCAAGTCTAGACAGGTAGAAGACCGTAGGCCTTTGTACAGAAGGGGTTGTAAACCTTCAAACGAGCCGTCCCACTTAGAGGGCTGGCCATCGAGTAACATCCTTCGAACGGTCGGCGAATGAAAGTCCAGCTTGTCCAGGAACTCGTTGAGCATTTCGACCGCCTCCAGAAACTCGCACTCATTGATGGACTCCAAGCATGCGCAGGTTGTCCAGAAGAGCTGCGGGAAAGTGAGTAGCTTGTCGGCGTCCAGCTTCGCCACGAGAGTCTTCAGAGTCGTCAGCACTTCCATAGAGAATTTCTGGAGTTCGGTATCCTCGTCTGAGATAGTACTACAGAGCCTGGCAATCATGTCCCCTAGCATGTAATGATCAAGAGACGTCAATATGCATCTGAAGATCTGGAACGACCGACAGGCAAGGTGCCTGACTGGACAAGATGTTGCCCAAGTCAATGACAGCCTGCCCCACTTCTCTTTGATGCCGGGGAATGTGATTTCAAAAGTCTTGACCACCTTGCCGGTAAGGTATTCCATGCTCGAGGGCACCTTGTTGTCATGGGCGCCAACGTTGCCATTGCTATCCTCGTAACCCCACACGACAGACCGGTCATGGCGGCGAATGGCATCGATGAGACTCTCGATGGATTCTCTTGTGGATTGGGGGACGTCATCATCGAGTCTCGAAATGACCAGTTCGTGGATAAGGTGCACCAGCATCTCACGAGCTTGCTCTTGGACTAGCGCTGTGTAATGATCCCAGAGAACAGTGACCACCTGAAGCAATACAGGCACATTATCAGGGACGAGGCAAACCGGAGCCACCATGAGATCAACTAGCAGTATAAGGGAAAGCTGACCAAGAGAGAAGCCAGCTTGTTTCGTCCCTATAGGGAGCACCTCTGAGAGATCTGCACAGTAAGGCAGGGTGTTGATATCAGGTGGCGGCGGTACGGCTTCCCGCTTGTCGTTTGTAACCATGGACTTTGGCGTGATCTGCATAAGCAGGAACTCTATCACCTTATTTCCAGGGGCACTGCTTGTGCTAGCGAGAAAAACCACGATCTGCTTGGCATATTCGACGAAATTCTGCTCCCGTCGTTCGAGACAGAGGGACATGATGAAGTCCAAAATCAGCCGAACATTGCCCGGGTGAGGACCTGTCGCCAAGGCCTGCCAAAGTGCCTGGACCTCATTGTGCAAGGCCGCGCTCGACTTGACGGTGATTTCCAGGAGGTTGGCGAGAAGCACATATGATTGCGCGGTTGGTCCACCGTTGGGGTCGACGGTCAGCTCTATTGACTGGATCCAGGGAAGGATGATGGCAACCACATTCCTCTGGGCCACTGACCCTACCTCCTTAAAGTAGTAAGTAAACTCGGAAAAGATGTAAAATGCCAACTCGGTATGTTGTTTAGCCAGTCTCTTGGATATTTCGAACTGAGCAAGTTTGTAGACGGCCTTGGTCTTGTCGGATATGCTGATATCGAAGTCTTGTATCTTGGAGTTTCGCGCCGGTTGTTGCCGCTCTTCAACTGTTCGCAAGACTTGTGCTGACTTGGACCGTATATCACTTTGATCGTTACCCAAGGTGAATAAGCAGAGACCGAGGAGCTTCCAGAATGGACAGGGGTAGTCGACATGCTCCGAAAGCACTTCTACCACAACCGTGAAGTAACTGGCCAACACCTTGGGAACCTCGGTTGTGTAGCACTTCAAGATGCAATGATCCAACAGAGCAGGATATTGCTGGTTGTGGACGATTAGGTTCCTGAGAGCTCGTCGTCCGATGAGATTAATCCGGTTGCTTTCCGCGTTGAATATCGCATCAATCCAGTTCAGCATACGGCGCG